ATGTTAAGATGAACTCTATTTTGTGGGGCGCTGTGAGGGAGCAACAACAAAAGATTGAGCATTTAGAGGCTTGTATGTTTGAAATGATGGAGGAGATAAAAGAGTTGAAAGTTAAAGGTAAAGCGAAAGCAAAGGCTAAAGCAAAAAGCAAAGAAAATTAAAATATAAACCTATAAATATGGGAAATAAACAATCTACAGTTGAGAACGGTTGTATTCAAGAATTGAGTAAAATTAATGAAGAAGAGTTAGATATTGGTAGGATAGACAAATTACAAATAAAAGCCTTAAAAGAAATCAATAGCAAAATTGAAAAATTGAACAAGGAAAAATCTGATAAGATTATGTATAAACTACCTGCTATTCAACTTTGTAGTTGGAGTTTGATTTAATAGGGTAAAATTGGAATAATTTTCCCATAGATTAATATTATTTTAATAATATTAATCTATCTATTATGATTGAAATAATATTATTGAATATGGATTTCCGCTTCAAATCTTTTCATAAAGATTTTATTTACATCACTCTCTCTGACTCTCTCTCAACTTTACAAATAGAAATGAGTAGGGTTCTTCAGTGGCTACTCTGTATATTTCATTTATGGTTTTCTTATCAATCAGGGCTGACTGCTCTTGAATGAATGTGTCAAGTTCTGACTGGTTTTTCAGTTTGAAGATGTAAAGGCTACTTGAATTTAACCTGACTATAGGACTTAAAGCGTTATACTTCTGTGTGGCAGTTATGACTGATAATCCAAAATGTCTTGATTTTGTGTATAAGCCGTGATGGATTTTACTATATCTCATAAATGTCTTATCTTCTGCGAAATCATCAACTACTAACAAACAACTATATAACTTGTTCATCTTGTTTTTCTTCTGGTATTTTATCACTTTATGCTGTGTGTCTATGATGTGTGCCAGACTTTCAGGGTCATACTCATCAAACAAATATTGCTCTTTTTTGTTGTCTATTTTTAGTTCTTTCTCTATATATCGGATTACTTCTTTGTATGCTTCATCTATGTGTGCTGTCGGTGATACAATGTATATTCTCTCAAAGCATCCCCTGTAGATTTTTAGAACGAGGTTCTGAATTAATATACCCTTTCCGCCCTGTGATGCCGATACAATGATGCTTCTGAATGGTAGTTTGTCTGCTTGTGGGTATGGTGATTGTTTGAATTCATACTGTTTTACATTGATAGGCTCTATTTTAGGAACATCAAGTTTTGACATAATATAAATTATTTAGAAAATAAAATATATTATATCTTGTAAATGGCATATCTTATTCTACCTTTGAGTATTGGGGTCAGGTGAAATCTGGAACAGACTGCCATTATTACCCATCATAAGAATGTTAATTAGAAAAATAAAAAAATCCACCCCTTGGGCTCTTGCTTCTTTTTCACTCCCGACACGGTCTCTTTTTGCTATGACAACAAGCAGTAGAAGATGTTGAAGCCTTTTTGCTCTTGAATTTGTTTGATGCTATGTTTCAATCAGCACAGTTCATTTTCTTTGACATTTACCTACCGCCCCTTATGGATTTTTGTTTGGGCCTAAAAATCCATATATAATTAGATAGTAGTAAAATATATCATCTAATTATATAGGATGAGCAGTTGTGAAGTTTTTGATAGTTATATCAATACAATAGATGTGATTGAAGATAGTGTCATTGATGATACTAAGTTTCCAATTGTAAAAGATAATAAACTTAAACTGATATTCAGGGTAATTCTGGAGTTTCTCAAAGTAATAATAAATTATCTTAGGTATTATATAAATGCCACCAAAGAAAGTGAAACCAAAGATGAGTAGTAAAATGAAGAAGCAACCAATACCTGAAGATTTTGATCTATCAGATGATGAACCCACTACAATCAATTTAGATGAGGAGCAAAAACTAACAAGCAAATTTATCACCTTTGATTGCCCACTGTGTCTGGGGAAACTTCAGTTAAGAAATGAAATTGAAATCAACCCCAAGGGAATAAAATGTAAGTGCAATCCGTGTTCATTCAAAATCAGTAAAAATGACAAGACAATGAATGTCAGCAGGGATGACAACGGGGAGATAGTTTTAGAGAGTGAAGACCACAGCATCAGCTTTTCGTGGAACCGGCAAATCACCCCTGAAGACAAGAAAACCGAAAGCACTAACAATATGATACGGGATGTAATGGCTACTACCCCCAGAAGTAAAGGACAAATGGCAATAAATGATATGGTTTGAAACTATTTAAAGAGTGATTCTAACACACGTTGAACTGATAAATAAATAAATATCTAAATAACTATATATAGAAATGTCTGATTTAGATGATAAACAGCCTGAAATGGCAGAGATGCTGAACAAGATGACTAGATACAACAAGAATGTGAAGGTGTTGATGGACTTAATGAACAAGGCATTAGAAAAACTTGATATAATAGTGAAAAATAACCTGCTGAAAATAATGATGCTGATGCTGAAAAGGAAAGGATTGAAAAAATCTTTGAGGCTAAAAAAATCGGGAGACCTGTAGGAACTTTTGAAACCAAGCAACAGCAGTATCTGAAAATGCTGAATGAAGGCAAGATAAAAATGCCTAAGGCATCCACTCTGGAATTTTACAAGATTGAAAGGGACGGTGAAGTCTTCAAAGTGATGGGTGAATAGATGAAATTTTGATAATATTATTATCTATAATAATATTATGAATTTGTTAGAATTGTTTAGTGGCACTGGTAGTGTTGGAAGTGTAGCTAAAAATATGGGCTGGACTGTTGTGTCATTAGATTTGAAAGGGGCTGATATAAACTGCGACATACTACAATGGAAATACAAACAATATCCAGTGAAATACTTTGATATGATACACGCATCTCCCCCTTGTATTGAATATAGTAGGGCTAAAACCGTCGGGGTTCGAAAAATAGATGAAGCTAACCTAATAGTTTTGAAAACGCTTGAGATAATCAACTACTTTAATCCGCGAATATGGCTGATAGAAAATCCGCAAAGTGGGCTTTTGAAAGAGCAGGAGTTTATGAAAGGGCTTCCATACTTTGATATTGACTATTGTAAGTATGGCTTTAATTACAGGAAAAGAACGAGGCTCTGGACTAACTTGGACACTTGGACACCCAGACCTCTTTGTAAAAAGGATTGTGATAGTATGGATGGGAACAGGCATAAAGAAACAGCACAACGCTTACCCTCAAAAACCAAAGCCGACTGGGGGGATAATCCTGTTTTTCATTCACAGACTGATTTGTATAAAATCCCTCAAGAACCGGTAGAAGAAATACTGAATGCTGTAAATGTTGTATGTTTCAGATATATAGTTGCGCCTTGCCACTGAAATACTGCGCCTTGAAGTAGGATTTTGATTTCCTACTGGGTAGGATGTTGATTTCCTACTTGAAAAAGGGTGGTCTTTAAGTAGGACTTTGATTTCCTACTGGGTAGGATTTGTGATTTCCTACTTTTCTTTGTGAAGTAGGATTTTGATTTCCTACTTGGTAGGATGTTCATTTTCTACTTGGAAAAAGGGCTCATAAGGTAGGATAGGGGGGTCTTACTTGGGCTCATAAGGTATGGGGGCTGGACATTGGGATGTCTAAGGGCTGGACATTGGGATGTCTAAGGGCTGGACATTGGGATGTCTAAGGGCTGGACATTGGGATGTCTAAGGGCTGGACATTGGGTATTGAGCCTATGGACGTATTCAGCATTTGAATACAGAATAAGGGCGTATTCAGATACTGAATACGGGGTATTCAGCATTTGAATACAGAATAATGGCGTATTCGGATACTGAATACAGAATACGGGTGTATTCGGATACTGAATACGGGTGTATTCGGATACTGAATACGGGGTATTTAACAAATGATTTGTTTTTAGATGGTTTCTTCTTCTCATTCATTTTTATGTATTGGCTTTACCATTGCTGGGATGTGGCTTTGTCGATAAATTATTTCATAATTTATCTTAAAGTCCATTCATAGGTATAGGCTTTACAATAGGCTTTTGAATGAGGTTAAGTGTATGGTTTGTTGTTATGGTTTATGGTAAGGTTTGTTTTATGGTCTATTGTATCGTTTAGGTTGTTTTGTTTTTTCTTTGTTTTATGTGTTTGTTATGATTTTGTTGTTGATTATGTTATAATCTAGGGAAAAGGGATAGGAAAGACACTTAAAGAGTTATTACCTATCTATAGTAGGTAATGGAGGATACTAAAGTCAAGTGTGCTAAATGTTTTAAGGAAATGGAAGAGGGTAAATACAAAACTTGTGATAAATGTAGGGAATATATGAGGGCTAATCATCAAAAGAACAAAGAAAAATATAATGAAAGGAGGAGAGAGTATTACTACAATCATATAGAGGAGGCAAAGGAATATGCTAGAAATTATGGTAGGACACACAGGGAAGAAATAAATGAAAGAAGAAGAAATCATAGAGCAGAAAACATTGAACAAGTGAATGCTAAAATAAAATGGATGACCTGCCCTGTATGTGATGATTATGAAATTCAATGTAAGAATTACAAGAGACACACACAAACAACAAAGCATCTGGAGAACTTAAAGAAACAGCAAACATAAATTTCATTTTATAATTTCAAAATTATAAAAGTGAAATTGTTTTTTGTTATGATTTATGGTATAGTCTTTTTTATAATCTATTGTATTGTTTAGGTTGTTTGAGTTTTTTTGTTTTGTTGTTTTGTTGTTATGATTTATGTTATTGTTTTCTATAAGGTGTTGCTCCCCTGTCTTTGGTATTAACCCCATAGAATTTGCTTGTATAATAATGTGGGCGGTTAGATGAGAAAGACGGGGGAGCAACAGTCTAACTATATGATATATATGATTTATATATATACCTATAAATATAATATATATATATACATATCATATACGTATTATAACATCAAATTGGTTTCAAGTTCTTCGCTTCACCAGTTCCCCAAGCCTATCCCCACAGGATTGGGCTCCCAGGCCATCTGAATGTTTCGCTGGCCCAAGCGGTTCAGGTAGGCACCGATGCCAACGGAACGCCCCGTAATGTAGGACAAGGTGAAGGTGTCCTGACGAATCCCAGTTGGGATCCCATTTGGGATCCCAAGGGTTGAAGGGAACCATCGATCACACAATTGGGAGAGTTTCTGTAGTCTCAAGCATCAGTTTTAAGCATCGACCACCCAATTTCACCAATCCCCAGTTTGTGAATCGAAAATAACGCTTCAACTCACTGAATTTCACTCAAAAGAGTCGATAGGTTGGGAATGCATCATGGAATTACCATGGCTTTCCATAGTTGGGGGTGCATTCTTGGGAAACGGTTTTCATTGGGTGAATTGATGTAAGCCATATCTGGGCGCCATTCATCCAAGGGGATGTTCATAGGTGCCATGGTCTCATAGGGATTGTCATACACCCACTATGCTTGGAATGGATGACCATACCCCATTTTTACCAGCTAACTTGACCATGGCACATGTGGCTATGGAATCGGATTATCTAAACACTTTGGTTCCGGGCATTCTGTCCATATGTGTCTATATACCTACAAAGACCCACTATTTCCCACTGGAAATATTGGGGGATGGTCATGGTCATAAAACTGGTTATAGTAGAAGTGTTCCATTAGTCATTAGACCCATGATCGTCTGATCCAGGTTCATGATCCCAAAAAATATACCCAGTAAACATCGATAAACATCAAGCAACCACCACTTTATTGAAGATGTATAGATGGTGACACCCCTTGGTGTATAGATATCCCATTTGTTCATATATTGGGGTTACCCTCTGATTATTTAACATAGCTATGGAAAATCACCATGTCTAATAGGTGGATCATCCTTTTTTATCATCTATTGCTATGGGCCATGGCTTCCATTGCTATTTGAAATACTCAGAGGATGACCCCAAGATACATCAAACATCAACAAACCTCCATCATCGATCAAATAATCAACCATAGATTGATATAGATACATCATGATACATCAAACAATCAAGATACATGAAACATCAACCAGTATATGATGGAGTCATGGAGGTTTGTTGATTATAATTGATGTTAAGATACTGGTATATAGTATAATATAGTATAATATAATATAATATTATATTATATTATATTATATAATATTATATTATATTATATTATATTATATATATATATATTTGTTGATTATAATTAAGATACATCAACTAATCAACCAGGATCCACTGGATCGCCCATCTCCTGGTATGCCCTGCTGGTCTCGCCCGCAATGAGGCCACTGCCCTGGAGGTTCTCAACGCCAATGCCGCCCCTCCGGGATGACCCGGGGGTGACCCGGAATAGAAACCAATCGAAACTGAACAAAACGTGGGATTCAACCGATTCAAGCAACCAAAAAATCTTGATTTTAAGATGATTCAAGCAGCAAAAACTTGAAACTTCGTCAAAGAGAAAAGGCTATGATCGGGGTGATATGTTCTGGTCTTTGGAACCAAAAATTAGACCTCACCGGCTGGGGCAAGTCATGTAGATGTACCGAAGTAGGGGGGTGAACATCAACCAACATCTGCCTGGGGGCCCCAGGGGGGGCCCAGGGGGGCACCACCAGCGCGGCCAAGGCACTTGGTACTCTTCATGCCCTCTCCGATGATGGCATCCAGGACGTAACGTTCCTCGCCGCCCTGCTGGATCTTGTGCACCTGATGGATGGATGGCTGGATAGATAGATAGATTAGAAATATAGATATAGTATGATATAGTATGATAATGTCTGATAATGTCTGATCATGTCTGATACTCATTTCAAATAGGACAACACGATGGAAAAGTAATGGTTTTTCCAAACCACTGGCCAGTTTTGGAGAATTTGGGGGATGTCGCTGATCATTTGCGCCTTACTCTGTTGGCAATTTTACATGGAAGCTGGTGATACAAAGAACAACTGCACCAATGCAACCAAAGTTAAATCATTCAAATGATTTGCCCCATACTAACTAAAGTTAAATCATTAGAATGACTGGCCCCGTACTATAATATATGTGACCATATGTGACCCATACTACTTTTTTCACAAATAGAGTTTCGATCAACCCGATGCGAAAGACTGGCCGCGGTGCCGCACCTCCACGCTGCCGGGGGGCAGCTTCTCATAGTCTGCCTTTAAGAGGTAGAGGTACTCGAAGCCTCACCAACTGGGACAGAGGTCGACATGGCGACTGGCATCCCATGATGATCAGTACTTAAAAATAATCGTGACCATACTAAAGATGGCGATAATAGTGAAGAGAGTAATAAGGACCATAATCATGATAATATTGATGATGTTTTTTTTAGTAGTTGTTATTATATGTTATTATTATATGTTATTATTCTTATTACATAATATATCTCATTTTAATATGATTTATATAATAGCAATAGCTAATAACAATCGCCATCATCATCATCATCATCATCATCATCATCATCATCATCCTCATCATCATCATCATCATCATCATCATCATCATCGGCACTATTTCCATAACCATCACCATGCAGACCCCACTGCGCCTTTGCCGCAATCCTTGGGATCGATCCACTGAACCTGCAGAAATTTAACGGCTCTTCCAAAGAGGCAATGGGTCAGTTGGACCGGGATTTTACAGGGAAAAAAAAAGTGTTTTCCATTATTATCATTGATAAGTTGGTGAATCATTGATGTTAATGGTAATAATATTGCTTAACATCAATGGTAATGATTTAACATAAATGGCAATGGTCAACATCAATGATAAGTTGGTAAATCATTACCATTACCGTTATGGTTATCATCATCCCACCATCATCATCACCATCAATTTATGGAAGGTTTCCGTAGTTCTTCCCCTAAGATCAAATCTGGCAACCTCAAAAACCAGATCCTTCTGGCGTATCTCCACAGTTTCTTTTCAAGCGTGCCCTTTCAAAGAGGGATAAACCATGACTGGTTGGTGATTTTAACCATCTTGAAAAATATGAGTTCGTCAATGGGGAGGATTATCCCTTTTCTATGAAATGGAAAATACAATTCATGTTCCAAACCACCAACCAGATGATATACATCTCCAACCAGGCTAGGGAAGTTAGGGAAGAGCAGCAATGACCCGCGTTTTCGCCTTGTAGAGAGGCTTCAATTCTTCCACCAGGCCAACTCGGGCACCTTGGATGCTGGCCCTTTAAGGGCACCTCCAAACAGCATGGCTATCGGTATCTGGGCTGTCAAGACATGGCATATGTGGCATATGGTTTATGGTCATCATGGTCATCCCACAGAGTGTGGATTAGTTCCTAATGGATTGATGACCATCCCCCAATCTGGATATATATATATAATGTGTACTCCCAGTTTTGACTATGAGTTTTGCCTGATGTTTTTTGGGAGAAAAACACAAAAATCTGAAGGTGAATCATCATTTCAGTTTTGTTCACCATTGGAATGGCCATTTTATGGGCTAAATCCCCCACTGTCGGACCACTGTCAGACCAGCCAGGGCTCCGGGCCGCTGTTGCAGGAGACATAGATCCGGGGCAGGCCAAGCACACGTGCCAGCTCGGACGCCTGCAGCAGGGGGGCAAAGCTGTAACTTGGGTTTTAAACTTTGAGTTGGATAAGTTGGTAAAACAAACATAAACAAACAATTAAAGTTGGGAAAACAATGTGTCGCTGTCACATCAAACTTTTTGGGCACATCTTCAATTTCGACGTTCATATCGAATTTCATAAGCTCCCTGAACAAGCTTAACACATCCTTATTCAATCTTATTCATCACCAATGATGTGTCGTTTTCCAGCGCTTCTGGTCACCCAACAGACGCCTTTTGGAAGAACTGGTCCTCGCGGACTCCAAAGGAGCCAGCCTTCAAAGCCAGTGGTGGCAGGTCATGAGATGCCAAGAGTGGGAATCCAAATGCACCAAACTCGACATATATATAATATATATATAATGACATATATATATATATATGCATTACATTACGTCCACCCTTCTTGTCCCTTCAAAGCGCACTTTTGTGCCCGGGCCAAGGTGCCCCCTGTCAAAAGGCTGTACACAGCCACCCTTAAGCGCTTAAGGTGACTGAAGGAAAAGAAAACCACCAGGCTTTGTCACGATGGAGGAGCCCGGGGAAGGAAGGGGGGAAGCCAAAAGCTCAGGGTGGACCACCATTCATGCATGCCCTCCCAGGTCTGGAGAAAACATGCATTACATTACGTCCACCCTTCTTGTCCCTTCAAAGCGCACTTTTGTGCCCGGGCCAAGGTGCCCCCTGTCAAAAGGCTGTACACAGCCACCCTTAAGCGCTTAAGGTGACTGAAGGAAAAGAAAACCACCAGGCTTTGTCACTCCTCCCCCTCCACGCGTCCCAGCCCGGCAGCCTTAAAGCACAGCTTGGCTGCGCGGACTCGAGCAACAGCAGTGGAAGGGAGTTGGATTCGAGTCAACTCCTGCAAAGCCTGGTCCAAATACAACCTAGCAGTTGAAACATTCTGCCACCTCCCTTTGATGAGAAGCTGTTCAAAAGTCATGCCTTCCTTGTAGGCGGACGTAGCTCCTCCTCTTCTAAGAGAGTATGGTAAATAGTGAAATGAATTCAGACCTAAGTGGTCGACGACCTCCTTCCACACTGCACGGTACTTTGCCGGCGCTGTGTCCACAAGGCGTTCTGTGCCATTTTTATTCTTGCAGAGAAAGTGGAGGCATGCTTTAGCACACCGCTCGTAGATCAACACCTTCTCTGCAGTCAGGAGATTGCGCTTTGCAGTTTTGGTGTCATAGAGGAATATGATGGAAGGCTGGTTTGCTTTGCGCGCCAAGACCACATCTGATCTTTGCAAGGCAAACATCTCTCCCGTCCGCAGGAGTCCAGCGAATCCAACCACGGTCAGACAGGCCAGATCTTCCCATTTCCACTTCCAAAACACCCCAGCAAACGCCAGCAACAAGGAGGGGTCTAACGGAGTGGCACGCCTTGGCTGTTCAATTTTCTGCCACAACCCCATCAATTTCCAAGCATTCTTAAGCCTCCCTTTTGCATCAGGGGCGAAGTGCTGGATGGCAGCTATAGCATAGCTACCTTGAGAACGCGATTCACCATCCTCCCAAAGCATCTCTACAAAGGACGACAAAATGTCATCCAGATTGTCTTGCCTCAGCAGCATCTGAGGACTTAAATTCACATACTTGGCCACTTCCTCGAGAGAGTGGTGGTAACGCTCTCGCGTGCAAGGTGAAATCTTTTGGTCTCCCAGCCGTCCAATCTTTTGCCTCTCTTTCTTCCTCTCTGCCTTGGTTTCCCGATGGGGGATCACTTTAGCCATACTTTCTTGATGGCCCATCTGCCGGGTTTAACCGGCTACTGATCCACGCCCAAAGGGGGTACAAGTTCAGGCAGAGGCAGAGAGAGGCTACTTTTCTCAGCAATCGATTGATCCGGCGGGACGACGACCGGCCCTTTGTCAGCACTGCCAGGACGATTTGCGAGTCAGACAGGTGCATGAACCGGCAACTGTGAAACGCCGTGCTACGGCTCCTCCACTCAAGCGTCCGCAGCACGGCCCTGAGCTCAAGGAGGTTGATATGTTCTCGCTTGCTCCAGCGATAGGCTTGAGCCGTTCTCCAGAGCCACCTCCGCGGGTCAATGCTCGTCCTCTTGACAGCATCTGGCCGATATACCACGCCTAGATCCAGGCGAATGTCTGACCCTCGAAACTCACATCGTCGAAGGTACTGATGGATCAACCTCACACTGAGTGGGTCTGGACCATCCTTTGCTTGGCCTTGCCCGCACATGCGCAACCACTCTGCATTACGTGGCGCACCATCTTGGCTCATCGCCTCCTCCTCCAACTCAAGTTCTTGCAGGCTCGAACTCATCGCCTGCTTCTCCTTCAGCAGCAGCCCTCCAAAGTCGCTGAATGCCTTTTCGCTCATCTCCTTATGCCATCGCTCCACAATGGCCTTTGCACCCATTGGATCAGTGCGAACTCCAGCTGACCACAGCCACAGGTCAATCAGGCATGCCACTGTCACGGCGTGGAAACTGTTGCCCAGGGCAGCACAGCGTGCTACCTCCTGTTGCTCCATCTCAAAATCGGAACCAGGCTCTTTCTTGAAAAGCCCGAGCGTGTACCCGGTCGGGTAACCCATCAGCCTTTCTCTTTCAGACGCTGAGGCCACCCGCTTCTTGTTTGAGTCCTTCTTTGATTCAAACAAGAAGTCCTCTTTGTAAGTGTAGGGAGGGTACTTCATCTTGTCCTCCTTCCACCTTTTCAAGGTGGCCTCGTCGCATCCATCAATTCCCGCCGGGCACACCGGGGGCCTGCTCCGAGGAATGGCCCTCGTAAATGTAGGCAGCCTCTTTTCTTCATCCTGGTTTCCAGCGGCCCACAGCCATCCCTCATCACAGAAGAATTCCATGGGCTCCAGCTCCTCCTCAAAGCAAAGCTCGTCCCAGAGTGCATAGTGCGCCTTCGTATAACTCGAATGGTCCTCCAGGTCAGCGTTGCTCCAGTACAACCGGGGCCTTCGAACCCGAGACAACCCGCTCGAGCAAACTCGAAGTGGAGGCGCACCCAGCTCCTCTGTCATTTCCTCCACATCAGCTTCATCACCAACCACATTCTCAAGGAAGTTCAGGTTCCAGACTTCCATCTCACCACATATATCAGCAATCCACCCAAAGATCTCACACAGGCGGTAAAACAGCTTCGACCTGGGATCTTCGAGGTGTTTCCTGTTGGCCGAGAGCTGCGACAAGCCTTGGCATGGGGACCCGCCCCCTGCAATCACGCCTGTCAACCCAGGCACTCCTCTAATGGCCTTTTCCAGCTCCTTCTTGGTGACCTTCTGGATGTCGCTCATCAGATCGCACCCTGGCCACCGTACAGCGTTTAGCCGCCTGCAATCCGGGTCATTTTCCACCACCAAAAGGTGGGCCACTTTCACATCAGCCAACTGAAGGGCACGGGAAAGTCCCCCTATCCCAGCGAAGAAATCAATTGCCAGGACCACTTGAGGCCCATCCACATTCACCTCTTCTTCTGGAGGCTCCTCCCAGCCCTCTTTAATGGCCAGTACCTCCTTCAATCCTTGCTGGGACAATTTGTGCCCATACACCATTCCGCCACCGGTTTCGCTGGCGTCCGAGGCTGTCACCAGTTCATGCAGCCTTGCCCTCAGATCCGTCCTTCTCAGCGGTTGCAGAAGTCCACTGAGCAATACCTCTTCCACTGATTTCAGCCCTAGTTCCACCATGGGGGAACCCTGGGCCACATCCTTCCAGAGGTAGTCAAATACCCCAAAGAGGGGACGTCTGAACTGCATTGTGTGGACCTCCTTTCCCAGAAAGACCTGAAGGGCTTTTCTTGGTACTCGTTCCTGGCGCAACAGCCAAAACCCCAACGAGAGGTTCTCCAGCGCACGTTTCGTGGATCCTTTCAAGACCCCTTTTTCTCCATCAACCACGGCCCCAAGTTTTTCGGCCGCTTCATTCCTTACCAGTGCCTTTTCCTTTGACACTGGAATTCCCCAGTGCTGGTAAGCCCTTCTCAGGCGCTCCTGCTCAGCCGAGGGTTTTCCTTCCAGCTCCTTGGCGACGCGTTTGTCCAGGATCTCAACCAGCGTCGTATCATCCAAGTAAAGCGACCACATCGATCGCTCCAGTTCCAGGTCTGGGAATTCCGCGTCCCGCCTGATCTCACACGCCCCCAGGAGGCCGGCTCCCCCTGACAAAGGTGATCTGAGGGCCAATCGTCGGTGGGCATGCTGAAGAACCCCCACCGCCGAGGCCCAGCCCATGGGCAATACCCTAGCCCCCAGGTATACTGAACCCGGCCGGCTAATGCCCAGTGATGTCCATGGCACCTTCTCACCGAAGCACATCATCCGTGACCATCCTGGGGGCAATGCGAACAAATAAAAAGCAGCTACAAGGTCTTCTGCCGAGACCCTCAGTACGCTGCTGTTCGGGAGAACGATATGTTGCAGTGCCGGGGCACCGGTCAACTTCCGAACGTCTCCTTCAAGGATCCGAGTGGCAGCGTTGACCGCTCTGAAATCCATTATGAGTCGGAGGATCGGGCGCTCGTCCTCTAGGAATTTGCCTGGCTTGACCACGCCGAATGCGCCGTTGCAGATGGGCTTGCCTTTGATTTCCAAAGGACTTTCAACTGGCTCCACCAATCCACGGGTATAAAGTTCCTTGGCTATCAGTTGCCACTGCTCTGGGCTGGCGTGCACCTTGGGTTTCGGCAGGTCTTCCGGCATCTCCTCCTCCTTCAGCACATTGCCCTCAGGGTTCATAAGCTTTTCTCTCAACTCCCCATCGCAGAGCTCCACCAAGGGGACACTACCCCCGAAGCCTGGAGGAGGAAGCCCAGGCAAGATCTGCGCCAGGGTCAACTGGTGGGCTTTCTCAACAATCTCACCCTGATATGAGATCCGGACGTCACCCAACTTCTTTCCCCACTCACCCAGGGTAGGTGACCTGGGTACTTTTTCTTGGGTTTCCGACCGGTCATCAACGAAATCGCGCACCACATCCCATATCCTATCCAGGGCCATCTGCTGAGCCTTTGAAGGTCCTCCTCGATGAACTTTTCCAGAATTGCCACCTCCGGTCCAAAGGGCATTGATGCCGGTCACAACCAGCCCATGCCACAATAGCATACCACTCCGACGGATCTGCTTTGCCGCTTTCTCTTTGTTCTGCTTCTTGGCCCCCCAGCTTCCAGCAAGTCGCCGAAACTCGCCCTCATTGAAAAGCTTCTCCATCTCCGCTCTTGCATCAGGTAAAAGCGGTAAAGGAAGAATCCCCCTTTGTCTCCTTCCTGAATCACCGTCGTCTGGCCCGGGCTGCAAAACCTGATGCAAGTAGCTGCCTAACGGCGTACCACTGCGCCATACGCTGAGGGCCAGCAGCGCCCCTGTCTGGGCCACACTCAGTCCTCCAGTCTCCTCAGTCTCCAACCATCGTTTGAACATCTCCAGACTCGACTCGGCCTCCTTCTCGGGGCTCACAGTCTCGAAGCTCTCTTTATCAGTCAAGACTTCGGGGGGGTTGGACTCCTCTCGCTCCTCTTCTCCCCTTCCTTGGGTCTCGAGTCCTTTCCTCCTCCTTTTCCTCCCCCCTTCTTTCCCTTTCCGCCCTTCTTGAACGGCCTCGTCCTCCACTTGCCTTTTCCTTTCGCCTTCCCCTCGCTCTCGGGGCTCTCCTTCTCGGCCGCATTCTTCTCTCCGATCATCAGTGGCTTCTCGTTGAAAACCACCCGGCGATGGTCGCTCTCCCTCAGGGCCGCTGGCCGACTTGACCTGGGTGGCGTCACGGTGCCCTCCACCTGCCGGGCACCGCCGCCGAGTCCCTATTTGTCGCCCTTCCTCCCCTTCAGCGTCATCTCTTTCAGCTTGTTTGCTGAGATCTCCATCCGAGCCGTCCGACGCCTCTCGGCTTCTGTTGTCAGACTGGCTGCATGGGGAGGGATCAGCTCTTGATGTTTCGCCGAGTGCCATCCTTGATCCACCAGCGAGGTTTCCACCGCCTTCAGTCTCTGCATGAGAAGGTCGCCCAGCTCCCCCAGCTGCCCCTGAATGAGCATGTCGATGGCTCGACCTAAGGTCAGCAGCTCCCTGTGATTGCGGACCCCGATGGTCCCTGGAGGATGCTGGGTGAGCACCACTTGACTGACGTAGGCCATCATTCGATGGCTCATCCACGTGTCGGTGCCGCCTTCTTCGCCGGGTGCCCTCTCGGCTAAATAGCGGGCCATTTCCTCCATCCCTTTCTTCAGAAGGGCCCCGGGGTTTTTCCTGCTTTGCCGCCACATCTCGACCTCCCCCCGGGTAGAGGGCTCTCGAAAACTTCGTGACGACCCTGATGAGTCAGATCTTTCATGCCACTTTTCACCAGGGCTTGAAGACCGCTTACGCCTCCTTCGCCGGCGTCCTCTGCTCCGGCTTCGCCCTCTGTCAGGCCGCCTTCTCTGATCCTGCCGTTCCTTGTCAGCCAGAGCAGCTCTCCTCTCTGCGGCCTTTCTCTCCAGCATCAACCCTACTAAGCCCTTTGGATGAACCTCAGGCCGGCCTCCTTCATTCTTCTTTCTTTTCTCCACCTGAGCCTCCTCCTCAGCTTCACCAGCTTCGGCAAGTGCCTTGTCCAAACCCGTTGGATCAGCCCCCCTAGCCCCACCCGGGGGCCCCGGAGGGTTTGGTGGCTCCGGCACCTTTGCGGCAAAATTGGACACCCAGTTGTTCACCGCCATGAGTGCCACTTCCTTGGAGTAGTCGTGCTCCATCATGACCATGGGGTTCGTCATGCGCCACCGCTCCAAGTGCACCATCTCCCGCCTGTCGCCTCTGCCCAAGCGAGCCGTGCACTGGGACCTCTTTGACCCGCACAGGTGATATATCCCTTTGCCCTCCTGCAGTTCATGTTGGGCATACCAGTCATAGTAGGGATCGGACGCTCTCAGGTGGACACCTCTAAGTGTCCCCAACGCATAGTCATCCCAGTCTAGCAGCCTTATAATGGCTTTGCCCTGTGCTCGCCCTCTGGCGTCATAGCACTCGTACTCCATGATGCCGTCACGGTTCATCACGCGTCGGGCATAGTCCAAGACATTTCCAGGATGCGTTGCAGCATCAACCCAAGCCAGGTCTTCAGGCTGCAGGCCATTGGTGATGAGGCCTGTCCAATCCCCAAGGGTCCCTCCTTTTGCCAAAAGGCTCTGTTTTGCCGCCTCCATCTCCTTTATCCTTACCCAGGACCTTGAGGCTCAAGCCCCAAGGGATAGGGATTCAAATCCCCCTCCCAGGTCTCTTTCCTCCTCCTGATCGCAGCCAGTACCGTTTAGCAACCACGGTTGGCCTGCCTTCAAGAGAAGGCCTGGCCACCCCTGGCTCCAAACCCTGCAGGTCAGGGAGGACCCCCTATCTCCGGAGAGACCTGGGAGCCTCCACTGACCCGCCACGCACGTAAGAGGGTCTGGCCCACCCTAACCTCACGAGAGGTCCAGGGAGGCCTTCCCCCCACACTGAAGCCAAAAGCTCAGGGTGGACCACCATTCATGCATGCCCTCCCAGGTCTGGAGAAAACATACACATTTAAATGACTTAAAATAATTTAGTGAATGTTTAAATGAAAATAATTAAACAAACAAAGTGGTAGGAAAATCATGGGTTGCTGGATAAAGTTGAACCAAAAAAGACTGTCTAAACTAAACACTTTTCTTTGAACCAAACTGCCACATGTTTGCCACCTGGAAGGTCACATCATTGGCAAGGAGAATCAGGTCACGTCCTGCGGCGTGGGGGCTCAACCAATTTTTAGATCCTAAGGTCCTAAGTTGCTGGCGACATGATGCTAGATCTGGATCATCCTAAATCCAACTGTACACCCCGTTCGTCACGAAATAGATGGGTACCCTCTGGTAATTTAACATAGCTATTGAAAATGGCCATTTATAGTGAGTTTTCCCATTAAAAATGTTGATTTTCCATAGCTATGTTAGTTTACCAGAGGGTAGATCATAAACCACTTCTGAGGATATCTCCAGGGCCACATCAACAAGCGGAGGCTACCGTCCTTCAGGGTACTCCGGGGTCTTCAAGGTCAGTTTCCAGGCCAGCATTCCTACGTCGTTGCTGCCTGCAATGGGCTCGCAACATGACCCAACCCTAAGGAGTTACCACTGTTCAACCACCAAAAGTGGGGTTGTCCCCAAATAATATGGATATGGATGATAAACGACTGGATTCTTGGGGTACCCCGCTTGCAGACAAACCAGAGTGATGTTTAACCCCCCACAGCACCCCCCACATATTGCAAAATGCAAGCAGCCCTCATTTGTGAGGACTTGTGTGTGTCATCACCATTTCCCTCGCTCTTCAAGAGCCATTAACTGAGCTAGGTCGCTTCAAAACAAGTCACCCACAGCTGCCATCAATGGGCCATCAAAATCTTCCAATACCAGAGATTTAGATCTCCAACAGTTCATCCAGCATCAAGCCACCTGACTGAGAACTCTACGACGGCGCCGCCTTCAGCACGCTCCATCTCCACCAACTCCATCTTGGACCAATCCATGACCTTGGTCAATCCCTCGTGGCATCAAGAATGATAGGTCTATAGGTCCACAAATTCGAAGGGGAACCAACAGCTTTGGGGCCCCATAGCCCCAATCAATTCCAATCAGCAAGAGCACACGATGGACAGGAGCAATATATACTTACCTCATCTCTACCCATCTTGACTCAAAAAATGCCAATCTAGCGGTTGGTCATATCGTCATATCCCCATTTTTGGTGGGTTCAATCACCATCCCCTTGGTGCCCTCGGTCCCCAAGATGTTTCAAAATGCCCATCTAACGGTGGCTCATCCCCGAGGCCCAAGCCAGTTCCACCACGGACAAGATATCCTTTGGCATTGCCTCAGGCACCTGCAAGCCGTGGCGCCATAGGGATCCCAGGCAGTTGTGCTTGGGAAAACAAAAAAACATCGGACAAGACAACAATTTGTCTACACCCTGTCTGTTGTAGATTTAGGCTGTCCTTATTGTTACAGTATTCAATAAGTGTTTGTTATTCTAGGTTCTCCTCACTTCTTGCCGGCCTGAATTCAGCAAAAACGCTGACACACATTTAGTAGCTGGTGCTCCACAGTATCAACTTGAAACGGGCCGACCTCTCCTTGGAGGATCAGAGGGGCTATAGGTGACATGGATATCCGAAATAATCGACCCTGCCCGCGAAACAACAAGAACCTTTCAAAAAACATCACAAAACATCAAATTCATGAATAGTCAATTTGAGAACCCATCCATTCCCATGATGTTTATCGGGAATAGTCAATCACTTGATGTGTTTATCCATCTATTCCCCATCTTTTTTGCTGGGAATAATTGAGATTGAAGCCATCCATTGATCCAACGGCACCTGAGACGGCACCGTGGGCGCTCCTCTCCTTGGGTTTCCATGGGTCATTGGGGGATCCCCATGATGATGGATGGTTTATTTCATGGAAAATCCATGAAAATCCTATGTTTTTAATGGATGATTTGGGGGTTTTGGAAACCCCTTTTTGCTATAGTTGTAATAGTTGTAATATGTTCGTAAGTCTTCTCTGGTGTATTTACGGTCGCTATAATTGTAGTTGCTATTGATGATTATAGTTGAAATTGTTTATGTATGACTATCCATGGAATCTGGCCGAATTTGGCTATGTAACCTCCGAAAGGAAAGAATGGTTTCTCAGTTTTTTTTTCGGTGTCGCCCTCAAAAAGGTAGTTCCCAACCTAAAGCAAAAAACGTGATCTGGAGACGATAGGTGGGTAGTAGATTCGTAAATGTATGTTTGTCCCACAATTGAGGATACAATCCCGTTACTATCCACGCACAATTCATCAATCATCTGTGGATTTGTAGATCATTCCCTTCAGAAATCGCTGGGATGTTCAGGCTGGTTTGAAGAATCGCCATTGGATGATATCTGGCTCCAGAAAAGATGGATCTATTTTGCGGCATTCCATGGATCCCAAGATGCTTCATCTCCATTGTTTACGGCCACATCTCCATTGTTTGAGGATGAAATCCCCAGGTTTTTCATGGATAGCTCCCATTGTTCATGGTCAAAGCCCCGTTGTTTACCTTTTGATTATTTAACATAGCCATGGAAGCCATGGCCCGTTTATAGATGATAAACACGATGATTTACCTGTACCTATCGAACATGGGTGGCTTTCCATAGTACCAAAGGGTCAATAATATTGGAGGTTTTCTTCCAACTCATCCATCAAAAAAACCGAATTTGGATTCTAAACCAAGCATTTTTGGGGATCCCAAGTGAAAAAAATGATGATGATTTACATTGATTTACCCTCTGGTAATTTAACATAGCTATTGAAAATGGCCATAGAAATAATGGATTTTCCCATTAAAAATGGTGGATCTTTCCATAGTTATGTTAGTTTACCAGAGGGTACCTGTACAAAAATGATGATCCCATGGATTTTCCATGGTTTTTCCATAGGATTTTCCTTCTCAAAATGGGATCCGTCCCATGGATCCCATGGCCGCGCATACCAAGCGTCATGGAGCGGGGGGAGGGGCTGCGGCGTCGCGCTCCACCACCGCGAACTGGCACAAGAGACCCATCCCCCCCGTTGATGAATTCTAACCTAATTAGGATAACCTAATAGGGGCTGACTTATTAACCTAATAGGTTTGTTAACTTATTAACTAATTAGGATATTAAGCCATGTAATAGTTGGCGTTTCTTAATATGTTTCATCGTATTAATAGTTGGATATTAACCAATATATCCAATATTGATGAATATATCATCAACTCATCAATTGGCGCATTTGGCTATAGGGTGAATCATGATCAACATCCCGGAATGGCTAAAATCTGTGGTCCCTTCTGGGGCTTACTTACCATGTTTGACCCATCGCGTAATAGAAAAACTAATATTGATGAAAAAAGTTATAACTCATAATTGTGATATCAACTAGTGTGAATGGATTGATGATCATCTCCCTTTTTTGATAAACTAGTCCATGTTTGTTGACCATGGCACATCATCTCTGCAGAATACAACTCCAGTCCAATCTGCCCCACTGACCGCAGATGGAATATACAAAGAACCAGGGGGTTGCTGTTTATCTGTGATTATGTTTCTTTCATTAACCATAAATACTAAGTTCTGATTCTTGCTGGTCCCCTCTGTTTTCAATTTATTTACAGTAATAAGTAATAAGTGTGAATGACTATTGCAATTCATCGTCACTAGTATAAACAATCACAAAATGCTTCTGACTATTTTAACATATTGTATTGTTTATAGTTGTTTTTGCTAGTATTTAGTAGCAACACTACTAAACTTTAACACATGATTTATGCTTATGTTTAATATGATTTAGTACTAACATCTATCAACATCTGTTTTTTCATGTAGCCACGGGTGACCAAAAAAAAAAACCTGTCCCTGGCGGTCCCTGACCCTCCAACTCCGCGGAGCTGCTCGTTCTCCTGGGCCTTGAGCTGGAAGAAATGTGGAAATGGGAGATCCGATGAGGATGAAATGATGAAAATACTAGGAATATACTCGGAATATACTCAAAAAAAAGTGAATTTGTGATGTATCAAACCAGATCAAAGTTTAAGCAGTCCGAATTCCATTGGGATAATCTACACGAAAATTTGGGATAGCCACCCATTTCATCGGGATGTACAGCGACGAACACGAACTTGGGAACCCCCATTTTGGAGTTTAAAAGAGAACGCAGGGACCTAACCATAATGTGTGCAATGACACGAGCGGCCACTTGTTCTAACAGCACCCTCACAACCTCTTAATCTCCATTTTCGGGAATATAGAGTACTAGGAATTACCATCTCTTGTTTTTTGATGGGAATGTATATAGTGGGAAGATAAAGGATATGATACAGCAACACTATGATATTTGGGTCTGTCTCAAAACGTGGGATGGGTCCCAACCCCACATCATCCCACATCTTTCAAGCTATGAATGTGCATTCCTCCGAACGAGCAAACCTCAAGATTGCAAAGAGATACAATCCTAGTGTCCCATGAGCCAACAAACCATCCAACTTCATACATCAAGAGTTTGACCATGGATAAAACCATCCCATTTTTGGACCCCAATCTACCCACTAGATTTACTGAGTGTCCCAATTTGACTTCACGTCCCCAATAAACCACCCATCCAAAACTGGAGCCCCCCTGCGAGCTGCCAGTGGCTGCGATCCACTTCATCGTCAGGGCCAACTGCAGCATGCCCGGCCTCGGTAAACCGCCGTCGAAAAAGGGGAGTGGAACAAAATCCAGCCACAAAGGATGATGTTCATACTAGGAATAGTGATAATACTGATAACAATAGCAGTAGTAACAAAAATAGTGATGATAATAATGATAATAATGAATGATAATGATAAATATATATAATTGTATAGTAATGATATTGAATGATAACAATCAAACTCACTGAACCCAAAACCGCGAACCACTTGGACACCCGGGCAGGTCATAGGCATAGGTGGAGCCAGCCCGTCGGGCCGCCACTCGCTTCGCCTGGTACATGCTGAGCATGGCATGGTCCGCCACCTGCAGAGACACGGAAAAGGCCAAGGGTTGGGCCAAAACTATAGGTATATATAGCTAGGTATAACATGGCATTACTATTGGATTTATAGGGTATAAATGGGATTAAACAGGTATGAATGGGATGCAATCACTGACTTGACGCTGGGAGTGATTCTTGTGAACAAATTCTTGTGAATGGCTAGTTCTAACCGATAGCCAAGTAGAACCAACTATACACCCTCCCAGCAAGAAGGGCTACAACCACCTGAGATATCTGCCAGCTTTTTCTATGCTGAAATAAACGATTGAAACTGGCAGTTTTTGGCCCATCTAAGGGTCACGAATTTCAACCCCTGCACATATCCGACATGTCAAGGCCGGGAAAACTGCGACAACACGGGGGCCATGGGAATTTAGTCCTTGCAGTGGGTCTATGGAATGCAGTGACAATCACTACCATCCATCCCTTGTGTGCAGTGCCCACCACCAGAAAATGGGTATGGCCCGTATGGCTTAAAAATATCTTAAAGATACTGTACGTTATCAAAGGATGTGTTCTTGAGTTTGAGCGTGTACAGTAGTCCCAAAATCGGGGCAACAATTTTGAAGTGTGTTAAAGTTGGTATGGGTCAAGCAAATGAGATACAAATGGGCCCACAGAATTAGTCATGTCTGGCCTGTCTGGCGGACTAAGCCATACCCATTGCATGGATACTTTAATCCCATTAGTTCTCATTTATTGCTGGCTATTAACTATATAAATCCCCTTGTATGACGGTTTTTTATGTTTGAATCCCAATTCCGAATAGATGTTGAACCCACCAAAAAAAATGAATTCATAATCAATCATCTAGGAATCTAGTTGCAAGATCGTCACTTGTTGAAACTTTTGGGGCTAAATATGGACACGGAAAAATATGTGAGCCTACCCATCTTCCCCCCAGCAGGCGCCCCGACATGAGGATGGTCTGTTTGCACCACAGCCGCACCCTCTTTGGCAGCCTCCCATCCTTGGGTAGTGACTGTGGCGCTGATGTGGGAGGATGGGGAGTTTGCAATGATTATTATGTCTATGACATTCTGGAACAGATTACCCCAAGGTTTCAGCAGACAAAAATAACATTCCCATTGATTGTCCAAGTCTTTGTTCTGCTCAAGGAATGTGTTTCTGGAAACCCAAACCTAGCAGGTTTCCATCTCACCTTAGCACCTGATGTAGTCTGGATTTCTCAAAAAATACGGGTATGTCTGAAAATGGGGTATACCCCCAATTATAGCCATTTAGTAGGGATAATGATCATTAACCATTGGGTGTAGGGGTACACTATTTTCAGACAAACCCATACCTGGATTCCTGGTTGCGCCTCATGGTGAAAATGCATGATCCCTGGGGTTATAACCCTTTCTTTCTGGCGTTCCCTTGGGTTCCCTTGGGTTCCCTTGGGTTCCCTGGCGCAGTGGGAAGCCGGTGATGGGATCGGGGAACTCTCTCAGCATCTTGGGTTTCAAGAAGCCACCACCTGCAGCCCGACAAGGACAACAAGAAATCCCTTTGTGTTGGACCATTCAACTGGATGTCACCAACAAAAATGCGGGATCTAACCCACAAGAGTAGAAGAAAATCACTTGTGATTTCACCACCAACCAGAACATCAGTTTGATCCTTAAGTTTGGAGTGGGTAGTTTGAGGGTTTACATGCCCAGCTATCGATACGGGCACACGGGGAATTCAACCAATAAGGGATTGATGTAACCATCACTCAACGCGGGGGGCCCTCAATGGGGCCGTCATCCAAGCCACGCAGGGAAGACAACGAAGTTCGCAGGATTTCCAGTCCACTTCCTGCGAAGTTTGCCATGGCAAATCGTGACAAACACATACCAAAATTACACAAACCCTCTGAGCCACAATGTCCCAAAGGCTGTGTCATTGCCAGCCCACTTGGCATTCCACTCAATGAGCACACGTGCTTTTGACTTTGAAAGAACATAGACTTATACTGCATGCCATATGACGCTTCAACCTGCTTCGACTTTCAGGTTTTATTGTGCAGGAGTGCAGGAGCAAGTCTCCGCGCTGGAGAGCCGGCAGGATGGGGGGTTCAGAACATGACCAACATAAACCAACGCAATGCCGATGCCACATGTCACATGTTGCTTGTTGTTGGCCAGCATAAAGTGTCCAACCTCTTCAGGCAGGGTTCCTTGCATTGATTACCCTCTGGTGAACTAACATAGCTATGGAAAATCACCATTTTCAATGGGAAAATCCACTATAGATGGCCATTTTCAATTGCTATGTTAGTTCACCAGAGGGTAACCTCACCTTTTGAGGAGTGACTCATGTGGAAGCCCCCACATCCCCGTACCTCCACCGGTGCGATGATGCACTTTGATCCTGGGTGCGCCGACAATCCGACAAAATGCGGCTTTATCATCATAGCTTCCATTGAAATGACCATATATGTCATATAAATGCTGGGTACATCTATATCATCTATTGTTTCCAGACAAAGCCAAATATCAAGTTCTATCCTATATCACAGTATCCTATGATGTTCGCGTTGTATCCCCATGTTTTTCCCATTAAAATGCTTGGCTTTATACCAGGCCGCGTCTGTTCCACACACAACCCCTGCAAGCAGCCGCACTCGATCTCATCGATGCAAAGCTTAATCACGTCCGATCCACGATGCCTGTCAGGGCCGTTGGTGGATGCTCGGGAAAGTACCAAAAAAACATCAAAAAACATGGAAAAGTTGGGTGACCCCCTGAAAAATACGTGAGAAATTTGGTTGACCCCCTCCAAAAAATGTGTTCTTTGAGAACTATTACCACCAAACAATAAGGGAACTGCAGCTAAGGTGCCCCAAATGGCTGCTGATCGTATCGAAGATGCGTTGCTCCACGCTCTCCAGCCTCGGCGTGTTGGTTTACCAAAAGGCTAGCAACGAGAATCACTTGGTGGATCTATGTCTATAGGGTTGCTGTGAACTTTGAGGGTTCCGGAAAAGAGAAACATGATGAAAACTGATGGAAAAACGATGGAAAACAATGCAAAAATGATGAAAAACGATGGAAAACAAGGAAAAACAATGGAAAACGATGGAAAACGATGGAAAACGATGGAAAACGATGGAAAACGATGGAAAATGGCTCGCTCTCACGACTTGCCTTTGACCCCCCGGCGTGCAGTCCATTTCACTCAGAAAGTGAAGGAAGACTCGGCTCGTCACCGTGGGGCCTTGCAGCGAAAGCACCAATCATTCCAAGTCTGGGAAGCCAAAGATCATCAAAGATCCCAAAGGTGCTATGGCTGTGGCATGCTATGTGGAGAAAATGTGGAGAAAATGTGGTACGGCTGAGCTCCCGGGCCAAACTTCGCCACCCGAGGATCCAACATGGCCTGATGGCGAAGTGAAAATCCCCAATTCACCCATTGGTTTCCCAAGTTTCCTGACCAATCTTGGAGCTTTTTCGGGTTCAGGTCCCCGACTTACGAAGCCCAGCATTTTTTGGTGTTGGAAAGTTGAGATGAAAAAAGAATGCGCCATCTTTTGAACACGAAATTGATTCCAGGTGTCTTTCATCAAACATGTTATCGACCACAGACCCTGCACCCAGTGGAAATTCATATCTGAAACCCTCAAAAAAACTAGAAGCCCTCTCTTCGGTAAAATATTCCTTTAAGTATGTATGTATGTATATATATATATATATCTATCTCTGTGTGTGTGTGTTCTCCCGGGCATAAAAGCAGTCACAAGTATAGTGACCCCGTGACCCCCCCAAAAAAAAATGTCGAATAGGAATGTCCACTCCAAAAAATAGTTCAAACCGTGCATTTGTCGTGCCGCCCTGCCCCCCCCGGTTGGCCCTGGGCTTTTTTTTCTCATGAAGTCTCACCGAGGCGCTACTACGCAAGCAAGGAACCTTGTAAATGCTACAAGATGATGCTCTTTTGCCTGATATCTGCTAGAAAAAGCTAAACAAGTTGGATACAGATGAAGTGAAGTGAGAAAGGTTGCTATAAATATGTGTATATATATATATAACATTTATAATATATACATATATACAGTATATATGTATATATGTATATATGTATATTATAGTATATGTATTGATCTTCCACATCTTCAGACCTCTTCGCCACCAGAATTCGTTCACTGGGCGCTCCCCGCGTGCTCAACCTCTTCCAAGGCCACGTCCAAGCTGTCCGTGATGCACTGACTGAAGGCATCGGTGCTGACACCTGCAAGGAGCGATTCCCCCGTCGTCTTGATGGGAAAAAACCATGGCAAAATGTGGGAAAATCTCCATCTGAATGGGAAAAGATGAAAGAGCATCATGTATAAATTCTATACAATAAATAATTCATCTATATCCTGGAATCAATTCTTCTCGTCATTGCCATTTGGACCATGTTTAATTACCAAAGGATAGCGAACAGCCAACTTAAAAGCGACCCGTTTCTAGCTGGGAGCCCCGAGAACTCAGAGCTCCAGACTACTTGGGTTTAAGTGCAGGTCCAGTGAACTAAGTGGATATATTACAGTATAACCATGACCATAGGGTATATATGGGTTTGTCTGAAAATAGTGTACCCCTACACCCAATGGTTAATGATCAGTATCCCTACTAAATGGCTATAATTGGGGGTATACCCCATTTTCAGACATACCCATATAATCATAGAGGAGATATATCATGTTATATCCCAACAACCATGGGGGTTTATAAGAACCATTGTCAAAAACCCACTTGGGTAACAGCTGGATTCCACCAGAATCTCCTCCTGCAACTCCCATGTCCAGCTCCCCCTGGGCCCCAAGCGTGAGAGGTATACTGCACGCATCAGCAGCTCTGGAGCAGGCGCCTTGGAGCAAGTGAATCATTCCAAATCTGGTTCAAGATATTGGTTGGTTGAGAAGAGTTCATGGACGATGATCATCTCCAATATTCAATCTAGACTCTATATATATATACTTGTCTATTTATTTATTTACTTATTCATGTATTTATTTATTCATTCATATATTTATTATTAATTATATGTAGATATAAATAATTATATGTAGATATAAATATGTTATAATATATATATAATATATAATATAATATAATTATATTATATTATATTATATTAATATTATATTATATTATATTATATTATATTATATATATACTATTATATATATACTATTATATATATTATATATATACTATTATATATATTATATTATATATATATATTATAACAAAAATGTAAATATATATAATATAACATTATATACATATAACTATCATACAACCACCAAGCAGATTTGGAAACAGGAGATACTTGCACCTGATGAGTTGGATGAAATGACCTAAATCCACAACCGAAAAACAGTCCAGGCCTTGCCAGACACCATGGGCTGAGTTGCCAGGTAGATCTGCGAAGTGGGTCGCACCTGCCAAGCCAAAGCCTATTGGTACACACTTTGTTATCATTATATACATATCATTATCATGTTATGATGGTTACATATCATTATGATCATTATCATTACTGTTATATATTACTTTCATCATTATCATCATTATCATCATCATTATCATCATTATCATCATCATTGTCCTCAATATCATTATCAATATTATTGTTCCCATATTTTGTGGAGATGAACGTCGATTTTTGCCAGCTATTTTCATGTCGTCCCGGCGAATTGACCCAGGGCCCCAGTGCACCTCTTTGTGGATACGCTGCAGGTTGTAGAGACGCTGCAAGGTACCCCTGGCAACGTGGTTTTCAAGGCATCGCTGTCATCAGGCCGTTGGCGATTCCGACATCCACAAACTACATGGAGGTTTAAACTAACGTAGCTATGGGAAATCACCATTTTTAATGGGAAAACTCACTATAAATGGCAATTTTCAATAGCAAACTGTTAAATTACCAGAGGGTAATGTGACTATTGGTCTTAAAAATGCCTAAGTACACATCAACAATCACCCAAAGTCCTGACGGCAAGCATCTAAGAGGCGATAACACTAACCCTTCCATCGATAGCACCTTTCCATCGAACAACCAGAACACCGATCTAGTGTGGTAAAGCCGTAAAGCCAATGCCATAATCCCCAAAATCACCATGAATCATACATGGGTGCTATAAACCATCCTCCAAATGGTATCCTCTGGTAAACTAACGTAGCTATGGGAAATCACCATTTTTAATGGGAAAACTCACTATAAATGGCCATTTTCAATAGCAAACTGTTAAATTACCAGAGGGTAGGTTTGCGGCATTGGTACCACATTCCTCACATCTCCTTCGCCATTGGCCCGGGTCCCCCCGGGCGCACAGCTCCAACATGCCAGGGAAAGAGGGCCACATGTCGCGGCTCATCTCGCTCTCAGACCACTCCTGCCCGCGCAGAACAACGTGGGTCCGATGAAATCACTCAGCTTGGGATTGCAGTCGTTACAGGTATTACAGGTCAAATAAGATAGATAGATAGATATATATATATATACATACATATATATATACATATATATATACATACATATATATATATATACATACATATACATACATATATATATATATACATATATATATATATGTATATACATACATATGTAATCATATGTATATATATATATATACATGTTTATTTAACACCATGTATATTCATAATAAAGAACTGTATGTACAATTGAAGTGGCTTCGAACACCAAGAATTTTATTCTGCCGTCCCTTCTCCAACGCGGCTGTCACTGCTGTCTTTCCAGTTTTCTTTCTCGATTTGGATCGCTGAGCTTGTCCATCTGGTCCTCATAATCTGAGTCATGGCTGTGAGACAAACAAATGCGATCAGGTGAGTGCGGCCGCTTCTTCATCGGCGCCTCAGCTGCGTGGGCAACCCATCGGAAGCGATGATGTTAGGTCGTGGCTACATAGAATTTATAATCTGTATATATATGTATATACATATGTATGTATGTATGTATGTATGTATATATGTATATGTGTATATATATGTATATATATACGTAGATATGTTGTATTAACTTATATACTTCATGAAGCTTCATGATAGCTTCATAGGAAAATGGAAGGTCATTTTGTTTGGATTCAATTGGGTAGTAAAGCTTCTCACATTCACTTCATTTATGCACCTTTGCACATTCGTGCCTCTGCCAAGCAGAAAATCGTCGCAAGAGGTACTCATCTGACTGTCGAAAGAGCGGGCTCTTGCCTCATGTCATGGTGCAAGATCAACAGCAATCACTCCAAATAAAGGAGCTCTGCCACAGGAAAGCCACTGGTTTTCGAGGTCAAAAAATCTTGACCCACATGTCCCATGCCATATGGCAGTGTGTCAAAACCTTGTACCCCTGTAGTTCACATCAAAATAGCTGGGATTTATGGATGTTCATCCCACTAAAAATGGTATTAATAGATATTGATCCATAGCCATATGTCAAATATCCCATCATATCCCATCCATCCAAAAAACAAAACCTGGCAGCTCAGTGGCACCACATGATGAGGCTCATCCTCCTCCCCGAGGAGATCGGCAAGGCCCCGTGGCGACGTTTCCCCAGGTGCATCACACAACGGCCCTGCTGGTGCTTGTAGCTGTGGAGGTGCTTACCTCCGAAGTCGGGCAGCTGGGACCCAGCTTTCCCCCAGTGAAAACATCAGATCATTTAGTGGTTGATCCATCATTGATGCTCCAAATGTTGTATCTGATAAGTGGGCTGAATCCCATATAGCCACCAGTTAGTCGTATCATCCAACTTTAGTGGCCACCAAGCATAGCTAGACATAGCTGCGCAGTTGGTCCACCAGGCCCCCACATGGCCACCAAGCATCGATGCGACACAGAGCCCAGCATTCCGCAGAAGACCAAGTCGTTGCCCTCGAAGCTGTCAGCTGGCGTCAAAGCGAAGTTGAAGGTCACGTCACATTCGTCCACGTGCATATCCAAGGATTGATCTTCATCTGGTTGGTATCTGCCAGCTGACAGGATAAAACTGATTAAACTGCTCATCAAAGGCATTGAAGAACAGCAGCTTGGGCGGTACTTGGAGGTGAATCCTAGTTAGGAAAGTGGTGAGCCGCCAAGATTCACGACGATTCCCCGCCTCACCACAAAGGTGTGATGTGCAGAAAGGCTATCGCCGCCCCAGTTCCTCGGGCTGTTCGAGGCAAGGAGAAGGCAGAGTTCAACCACGACGAAGCAAAGAAAAAAAGCAGAGACCACCAAAAAAAAGAGGTCTACGCTATACGAACAAGGATATTTGATCCCTTGTGGTTGAATTGAGGCCAGTTCACTGGATTGTTGGTGTTTTTTGTTGGCTTCCTCGTTGTTTGGGAATTTTACCATCAGCAGCACATATCATTTCTGGGGTGTGAAAAGGAAACACCCAAATCCTGGCAGCCTGGCATGTTTTACTGGAAATTCCTGAGCATATCCAGGTCTGAAGTGCCATGAAGTGCCCAATTCCTCTGTCATCCCCCAAACCAATACTGGCTGGTTGATAATGCTATTAATCAATGTTAATCATATAACTATTATACATATATATATATATACATGGTTGATGATGTCAATAGTGGATGATAAAATGGAGTTCATCTGGGATCAGTCCATCCTTCCATTTGTTTGTCAACCAGCTGGAAATTCAGACATTACTCATCTGGTTCCATTTTGATTAAATACTCCTCCTATCGCCCACACAGACCGTCGATTAATGAATTAATATATATATATACATAATATACGCTCTCATACCTTTGCCAACAAAAGTAGGATTTAAAAAATGCATCACGGGAATCAAGAATCAAGAATCTATTGATTTATATAATTTATATAGACTATAGACAAAAATAATAATGAATATAAACAAAAAGAACCATCTCCAAAGCAAAGTCTGCGGTTCTCACCACCAAGATCCTTCGCCGGCAACGAGCTGTCGCGCATGTCCTCTGGACCGAAGAGTCGCGCGGCGATACCCTGGAGATAGTCCTGGCCATGGCCCAACGAACAGTGGGGTAAGTTGGATGAAAATGGTAGAAACAAATGGAAAAAAAGTCAGAAAAAATGGTTGAAACATATATCAACATGGTTGAAACAGATCTGTTTTGAACAGCTAAAAAATCCATGCTAAATGTCTGGGACCAAATATTTGGCCGACTGACACCTTGTGAATCCCTGGTATTTTTTGGGTGGGACCATTGTGGAAACCAGATGTTGCAAAGATCTGCAGATTGCAGATTCTCCATGTTCAATGTTTTCTGATCCAGAGTTTGGAGAAAAATCCCAAACTCGAGGTTCTGCAGTGCCAGTAAATCTAGATCTACCTTTCTTGAAGGGAATATCACCTGACACAGTGAATGCTTCCCCTGCACATTTTCTGAAGGTCTTGATCTAAGAGTACTTGTGAGTACCTCAGGTTTGTCATGGGCCAACTTGCTTCTGCCATGGATCTGGGATCATTTCAGTTTGTACGGGGCCCTTGCACAACACAGCAATTCGCTCACGACGGAGTCACGTTGCTCCCTTCTTTTTCCAAACGCGTAGCGCCGCGCTATGGTTTTTTGGCGTCAACTGTCTGCAAGCGCCAGTGGCTTCCAATGGCACAAGTTCATCAGGGTCATTGGCCAAACATGCAGTCTCGCCACTTACCACATCGGTTGGGCGAAATCTGCACGAAACCCAGCATATCATTGTTATTTGTATATTTCTACGGATAAGAAATGCACCATTCACTTTACTTTGGTGGTGTATTTGGCTTGCCATTCGCTCAGGGCCCGCCGCATGGAAGAGTTCAACTTCACCACTTTCCGCTTCTGTTTGATCGCCGCAAAGGCCTCTTCCCAGGTCGGAAATCGCCCCGCACGGACCAGACAAGCACAGAGGGTGGTGGTGGAGCGGCCACGGCCGTGGGCACAATGAACCAAGACATCGCCCCTCTCATGTGCTGCGATGCCAAATTGAGCAGCCTCCTCCAACTGATCGGGCGTTGGAGGCACTCCATCCCAACATTCAATCAACAAATATTTCTCCTGGGTGCTGGTTTCTGGAAACTCACAGGTCAAATCGATGGTCCCGGCCCATCTTCGGCCCAACTCATGGCTATATCGGCCACCCACCCACCATCCAGATTCCACTTCATCTGCTGGAGCAACACCGGTTTTTCGGTCCCGCTCCCGTTGCAGCTTGGTATACACCAGGGTGGGGCAGTGGAAGCCGAAGAACAAGACATAGGACCAGATGGGAATGGCGCCTGACGCCGCGTCCTTCCCAAGCAGACCCATGCCCAGTTTCAGGTTGAAGAGCACGGCAATCACCAAGTTTATCACACTCACATTGTACAAGTAGAGGCCAATCAGAAGCTGCAGATTGTCCAATCCTTGCAAGTCACCATCAGCGAAAAGCAGTTGATCAATGTCCATGGGCATCACCCATCTGGCTGCAAAGGCAGAGACGCCAGCAAAGGCAACATACTTCAAAGACACGCCATGAACCGCTCCCATTGTGGTGCAAAGTTGCAGATGTACAATGTAGATGCTACACAGTCTACAGCAGAAGCAAATGTGCTGAGTCTTGACTTTATAATGTGAGCACTGGGTGCAAACAGACTATAAGAGGTTATGAAATGTAAGCAATCAATAAACGACTGGTCACAAAGCCTGAACCAAACCGCCTTCATGAGCCAGTTCCATGATTGCAAATCTGAGCCTGGGGATCTCGAAGAGAAAGGATGAAGCATCCCAATATGGAGGTTTCCTAAGCCATGGGAGTACCCCCAACATCATCCAAAAGTGCTTATTTTCAATGGGAAAACCAATGGGTTTGGGGCTGCCATACTTTAGGAAACCTCCATATTATGTCATTCTACAAGGCATCTTGTCTGAAAATATCCATTTGGTTTACCATCATGTCCCCATTAAAATGATCAGTCAGTTGGTACCCTATGTTCAAAGAACCCCATGCCTTCCTACCCAATCCATGGCCCCCATCTGCCCAACATGGCCCAACATGGCCCAAACCACCAGGAGCTTCGCCAGGCCTGTAGCATGGCCGAGAAGACAGGCTTCAAACCAATTCCGTTCAAGACCAGGCCATAGTTGTTCCTGGATCTTCTGCCAGGTCTGTGTCAACGTTTTCCAACTGTGGGATATGAATGGAAAATTGCTGGGATATTATTGGTATTAATTAAAAATGAGTGGGATAATCGGATAATAATAATATATATATAATGTCATCGACTTTCCAATCAGGATCTGAAAAAACCACGGCTTGTCTAGCTGAAAAACAGTTGTGGTTCACTAAATCTGCACATCTGGAGTCAAATTTGATTCAGCACTGGCAGCCAGGATGCATACTATTTGGCGGCCGCTGCGGAAAGCCACCAGCCTTAGCATCGGCAATGCTGCGGAGAGGGGGAAGGATTTCGGGAAACCCCGGGCCGCAGTGCCTTTCCAGGTCCCCAGATGGTGCAGATGGTGCCTGGTACTTCAGAATCTCCTCCACAAGCAAGTTGCAAAATTCCAAGGTGAGGCATTGGAAGGAGATCACTCCTACAGCCCAGCCGAAAGATCTTCTCAAGATCCCCAAAGAACTTCGACAAAGCAGTCTCGCTCGCCAATGTTCCCTTCCAAATGCAACTATCAACTGGTCGATGATTATGTGTATATATATAATATACATATCATTATCTATCTATCTAATCTAATCTAATCTACTCTGCTCTACTCTACTCTAATCTAATCTAATCTAATCTATCTAATCTACCTAATCTACCTAATCTACCTAATCTATCTAATCTATCTAATCTATCTAATCTATCTACTCTATCTAATCTATCTAATCTATCTAATCTATCTAATCTATCTAATCTATCTAATCTATCTAATCTATCTAATCTATCTACTATCTATCTAATCTATCTAATCTATCTAATCTATCTAATCTATCTAATCTATCTCTAATCTATCTAATCTATCTAATCTATCTAATCTATCTAATCTATCTAATCTATCTAATCTATCTATCTATCTATCTAATCTATCTAATCTATCTAATCTATCTAATCTATCTAATCTATCTAATCTATCTAATCTATCTAATCTATCCAATCTATCCATCCATCCATCCATCCATCCTGTACATCCATCCATCCATCCATCCATCCATCCATCCATCCATCTATCTACTGGTATCTATCTGTATGTAACAGATTAGCTCTCAAGCCATTCTTTGAACACAACCAACACAACCCAAAAAAACAACTCCAGGCTAAATTCCCTCCCAGTCACAACCACTTTAGGATCAAAAAACATCTAAACAAAAAAAACAGCAGCTGTCGCTCCTGTAGTTTCCACTTTAATCCCAGGCAGCTGGTTCAGTTTCAGCATCTTCACATCCCCGCTGGCGCGCCAGGCTCCAATTGCCCGCAGGAAGCCAGGCAGGAACCAGCGGCTGAGCTGAGATGGGTCGAACAAGACCTGGGACTGCTGGGACTGCTGAGGTCGCCCTGAGATTCGACAAGTTCGAAAGAAAGTTTGACCATTTGGGGAATCATTTATGAAGAAAAAACACGCAAAAAAGGCTGCATTGGGCTTAGCACGTTGATCAAAATGGCACTACTCTTACTGATTTGAGGATCTGCAATTCTAGCACACCCAAAACATTCAAGAAATAATCAGTTGATACCCTGCCTTGTGCTTTGCTTCTTTGGCATACTCAAAACCTGAGCAAGACCCGCACGATCAATGTCTACAAGGATTCCACGGCAAGAAGTGTCCGGTCTGAAATTCAGGAAAGAAACCTCTCTCTCGCAGTTCCCGTGCTTGTTTCAAATGCCAGGGTTCCGCTGGTTGCTGCCCTGCTGCTACGATCAGCTCGGGAATATCCTGAAAGCAGAGGTCACTACCACCGTGGGTTGAATCATAAAAGGTAATGGGGAAAAAACAACATGTTCTGGTTGATGCGGTTGATGCAAGCTACCATCACACTGGGATAATCTGAAGAATTGGAAGCCCCTTCCATTCCCAGTAAGACCTATCACCTCCCCAGGAAACTACCAGCCTTCGGAGCCAAGACCTCCTGGCCACTGGCGTCCAGCTCAACAAGGTATGGCACCCGCCCAGAGTCCTGCCAGTTGGGTGTTTTCCATTGTTTTTCCCAATGAAAATTGGAGGGTTCCCGGGTTCCCCTTCTTTCTTGATGAAAAATCACTGGGCCCATGTGAGCTACCCCAATTTTCATGGATGTTCTGAACATCTTTACTTTCTATGCACGTTCAGAATATCCTAAAGATAGAAAATCTTGCCCAACATCGATCCAGATTTTTGGGGTCCTTGCAGATTTTCCTGCTGAAACATCTGAAAAAAAGACATGGTTTGAGTAACGCAATATCCCCAGTGCCGGGGCCTTGTCGCCATCGAAATCCAGTTGAACCACTGTGCCTGAATTTGAAAGATTTGTCAAAAGAAACTCTCCAGCATATCATCCGCCACTATACCAACAACAAATGTGCAAAGAAAAAAGACCGATGTCATAGGATTTTGAAGACTTGAATTGCACTTCTATGGAATTTTGGAAGCTATCTTTGCATGAACCCAATCGCTGGCAGTTGACCTTCAAGCCATCCGTGCGCCGTGAAACACGCAACACGGTCTCCAAGGTTGAATCGCTTCGAATCTGCCGCCATGGATGACCCAGTCACCAACGGCAGCCATGCAAAAATGGCCTAATCAATGCTTGACAATGCAGAAAAGTAGCTAAAAAACATGATCATAGCGGTTGAGAACAATTGCCGGTTGGATAGTGAGTGTGAGTTCTTGGAGATCTGTTGATGAATTCTATTCCTTACGTACTGGCATCGTTCATATTCCATCGGTAAACCTAACCTTTCTCTGCTTCCTTGTGCCAAATATCTTGCCTCGAACAGTCGTCCTAGAAGCTTAAGAAAGAAAGCTAGCAGGCAGAGCCATGGGCCATGAGTGAATTGGCTACACATGGCTGGAGACAAGGTGAATATCATCTGAAGCAACATTCTAATTTTTCCATGAAGAAATATAAGTACCTGAGCTAACCGTGAATTACAGCCATCAACAGTGAGTACCCTCCGGTGTCATCAAACATGGCGTGCGCCGGGTTGGATTTCCCAGCTTGCTATGTTTGACACCGTTGCAGGTAATTCCCATTAAATCAAAAAAAAACATTAAATCATTATTAATGGGAATTGATCACTATATAACACTATTAATAATAGGGAACATTAAATCCATGGAATTAATAATAAGGATCAATAGGGATTAACTAAGTTCCCTATTGATTGTTTAAAAATCCCATGGTGTCCAAATCTGGCCACCAGAACTCCTCACTGGTGGGGTCGATCACGAACTTGCCGAAGCGGGGATAGCGTGGTGGCTGTGGCAGGGCCTATGGCCAAGGCGGAATCCATGGCCAAGAACTGGTTGGGTGCATTTGGGTGTCTCTGAAAATAGGGAGAGACCTCCAAATCACTAATTCAGCGGTTTTTTTTAAAAAATCTTTCTTATACATCTTATGCCTGGTTGATTTTGGAAGTACGTACCCTATTTTCCGACCGATTTGGGAGCAGAGATTTTCGGTTCTCATTTTATTTGCGTTCTACTTTCGCTTAGACATCGACTGGAGGGCCGAAATTGCTTGCTTAGTCCGCTGACTGAGGCCCTGACCACACAGATCTCGCCAATTCCAGCCTCAGCTGCCAGTTCTCCTTCTACCATGGGCCTACCTTCACCATCCTTCACCCCCCCCCCCTGGGCTTCCCAAGCAGACTTCAGAACTTCTGCCTTTCGCGCAAAAGCTTCCTGGCATTGCTTCAATGCCTCAGACGATGCCGAAGGCGCTGTGGTTCCAAGGGTTCCAAGGCTCGGTCTGAAAAAACAGGACCCATCCCATGGAAGGGAGCCCCCCGCCTTCTTCAACTCCTCATCGCTGTTGTAGAAGAGCGTCCGGTCCTCTTTGGAGAATATGGTTTGCATCAATGCATCCACACATAGAATGAAACTATTTCAATGTTGCCAGAAAAATTTCATCCACATTTTAAGGTTGCTGACATTTTCCCCGACTAAGCCACTGATCTTGGGGGGTACAGTACCATATATATATATATACAGTACACATCATATATCATCATATATCATGTTATCAGATATTATCTCCCGATTCTGCTTAACGTCTTCAAACCTTGCCCAGTCCGTGACGGAGGCGAAGGCATCGCGCCCCACCAGGATGTGGAGAAAGTTCAGCGGAACGGTTCCCTGAAATTCTCCTGGCCGAAAATTTGGACCAAAGCCGGGTGTCCCGGAAATTCTCCAAGATCTGATGGTGAAGAAATGGATCTTGGACGTGTCTGAAAGCTTTGGCCAATTCAACACCCAGTGGAAAACTTCAGCAAAGAATGGATCTCGTCCATAGACCGTTCAAGAATCATCCAGCTAGGTGATGCGGTTTGAATGCCGATCCTTTCAACCGAAAACATATGTGAACGAGTAGCTATCTAACATTGATCAACAATTCTATATATTAGAATGTGTCCAAAAATTGTGGTGTGTCTACCCGCCAAGTGGCAGTTTTTACATGGAATTTACGAGGTATAATTACCCTATTAAAACATATTAAAACCACGATTGTCCATAATTACCCTATAATCACCAGACAACCGTCACCACAAAGGGCCGGGCCTTGGAGCTTCACCAAGGGACCTGCCGTACCGCTGAGCCATGGAGGTTTTGGACATGGTTTCGTTGGGAAAATCATCCACTTAAAAATGAATATAAATGGTTTGTAGCTGGGAAAATCATTGAACTAAATTTACTGAATGGATCTCAATCTCGAAAACCCTAGGTTCACGGAAAGGACATCCACAAATTTGGGAAGGTCCCATCGCTTACCACACGTTTGTACAATAATGATATATTGTAAACTTGGGGGGTATCGCTTGCAGGAAACTGCTACATTTATATACATATATATATAATTCACAGAAATCAACGTCCAATTTGGGTATCGCTAATGTGGATATTAGAGAAATACAACGACATAACCTTGAAAAGGGGTATCGCTAATTTGGGAAGGTCCCATCGCTTACCGTGTGTTTTTAACAATTTCCATCAATTTCCATAAACCAATGTCCGTCCAATACATATTTAGTATTCCCGGGGATTTTGCGGCGGCTCAAATGGGGGGGATGTCCATTGCGATGTTTGATGATCGGAGGGTAGCATGGAAACGATCATTAAAAACCACTTTCGGCAATTGGCAAGGTCTTCAAGGTTCCTCGGAAAAACTTAATTACCCCCAAATCCCGTCATGTTCCCCGATTGCCATTGCTTTTTTTGGGTACCGTACCCCTATTTTCATCCAATAGCTCCATTTAAAAAAAACACATTAAAACCTCTTGTTCTCAACTCCATAAAAGGCTATGAACCCAAGATATTCCAAGATATTATAGCTACATGTCCCCATTGAAAACCAGCCTGTCCGCCCCCAGCTGAAGTCATGCTGAAGCCGCACCTAGCACCGCTTGGTCCAGGACGCTGTCCAGTTGCTGCACCGAAGGTATGACGATGATTTGACCGTGGCGGTTATGTTCCTGACCCGAGGCTTGGCAAATGTGCCATGGAAAAGTGAGTTACGTGGCTCTTTTTGGTATGTAACCAACAATCATGGGGATATTCCATTGAATTTTGTTGAAAACAAGTTCCATAGGATTTAACCAACATGTTTTTTTAATGAGGTAATATAACCAACAATAGTAGGGGGTAAGATAGTACATAACGGCGACAATAGTTGGTATGTGCCATGTTTATGGGAATTCACCAACAATAGGGGCATATTCAATGGGATATATCATGGGATATTATCATTCAAAAAAACAAAAAAAAACAAGATTATATTAATATGGGATGTGGTCATCCCATCATCATGCATGGGATTCTGCAGAGATTCCTCACTATAGGTAGATATATTTGTTTGGTTTGATGACTATGCCTCGAATATGGGTTACATAATATATATATATATTATGTTATGTATATTTATTATATATAATTGTATTATATTATATATATATGGGTGTATAATCCAGAAAGCTCAGTCATGATTCGACAGGGAGTAGATAAAGAGGTAAAGTGACCAATTTCCCGTGCCTATGTTGGGTCGGAGCCATCCTGCTTGAAAGGGCTGTCTTGTGGAAACACCATCGTTCTTGTCCAGGATCCGTAACACCGCACCCAGTATCCGAACTGCCTATATCAACTGCTGGCGCCTCCTGCTTCTTGTCCACTGGGAAGTACTGCGTCCACAACGCTGATGTGCTGACGGGTGCCTTTGCCTGTGCAGCTGTTGCGGGCTTTGGGAACTGAACTGAAGATATTGGGGCTCTTGGAAACCTTCAATGGTAAATCTCGAAGAGAAAATTGTCAATTCGTCCTTCGTTTGGGGAATGCTCAACTCTTACCCACCCAGACCTCTCGCACAATCTCAACAAGCACGGTGGCAACTGGCAACTGGCACAGCTAAGACTTAGAAACATGAGTGGCCCTAAAGGAAAGGATAGTGGGTGTCCATGTGCACCACCATGCCCCCACATGCCTCCAGCATTTCCAGTTTGCGAATTCCTCAGCGCTGAAGGTCTCGAGACTTTGTGGAAAAGGATGGACGATATGATATGCAATGGGAGTGTCCAGAAATTCGAGATTACAGATTGGTCTCTTAACAAAAAGAACACATCAAATGAAGGAGTTGAAGACCGTTCGATTTTTTGTACAAGCTCCTAGAAGTGCCTCTAAAGGCCAGCATACGCTTGTCCTTTACAAGAAGCAGGCTACAAGTTCTGTGTCTCAGGTGGTCTCTGGGCTGCCCGAACGGCTGGGAGCAGCCATCCAGTAGAGGTATGCGTGCATGGCCCTCTTCTGGATCCTGAGCTCAGCAGTAAAGGTGGTACCCTCTGGTAATTTAACATAGCTATTGAAAATGGCCATTTATAGTGGATTTTCCCATTAAAAATAGTGATTTTCCATAGTTATGTTAAATTACCAGAGGGTAAACGAATCCTCACCTTGTCGGCCTTGTCGTGGCTGTTTCTGAGTGACTGAATGTCCACAGTTGAAGACTGCCCAACCAAAGCTCCAAATATGTGTTCATCATGGTCATCATCATGGTCATGGTCATCATCATCATCATCATCATCATCATCATCATCATCATCCTCGTCCTCCTCATCATCATCATCATCATCATCCTCATCATCATCATCATCATCATCATCCTCATCGTCACCGGTTCTGTCATGCTAGGTCCCTGGCATGGCATTGGAATCATTGAGGGCCTCCACCAACAACTCCACTTCCTTGGAGAAACTCAGCCCACAACTACCGTCGCCTGTGGCTTCACTTCCCAGTAAAAAATGCTGTGCCGCCCAGTCGCCAAACTGCCGTCCATGGTCCCGGGAAGCTCCTTCCCAGTGGATCGGGCTGTTTGGATCCCAACGAAACTGGTGAAACTCGGGATCCAACCCTCCCAGCAACGTCTTTGTCTCCTGGGAGGTTGCGAAATCCAGGGTCTTCTCATCCAACTTTTCCAACTGCTCTCGGAATGCCTTCACCTTGGAGTAGCAGCCATCATGCTAACCATCATCAACCCTGTCATAAACATTCATAAACCATCATAAACCTAGCATGACTATGGTTGGGATCCCATCAATGGTGATGACTTGGGGATGGCCACCATGGCCATCATGGCCACCATGGCCCAGCATGGCCCACCCCTGAGTTCCTGCACCCGCTCTTCGAAGGACTCCTGGGGCACCACATCCAGTAGCTGTTGCCTTTGCTGGATGTCCCCAGCTGATTTTTTCCCATTTCTTGGGCAGACGTCAATTGATATGCAAAACATGACTCACTTGGTTTGAGGATGTTTGGTAGAATTGCATTTTTCCATGGATGTTGGGAGTAAAATCCCGACTTTTCTAGGATTTTGAGGAAAAATCCAGATTTTCTCAGATCTTTGCCGCGACCCTTGGGCTCCCAAACGCCAGGTAGCGCACATTGCCATAGTCGCCGGCGGCACCAGAGTTGCTTGGCAACTGCGAGAGTTCCATAATCTTCGCTTGGACCTGCGGGACGGGCTGAGCCCGGACTCGTTGAAGACAGTTCTATAGTGAATAATAGTTGTCATAATAGTTATAATAACGGTTATCATAATAGTGAATAAAATCCTCATATTCATAGTTGCGAGTCATAATGGTTCATAATGGTTCATAATGGTTCGTAATGGTTCGTAATAGTTAATGGTAATAACAGCTAATAACAGCGAATAATGGTTAATAAATAGTTAATAATAGTGAATATTAGTTCATAACAGCTAATAATTATTAGTAGCTGATAATGGTTAATAAAAGTTAATAGTAGTCAATAGGAAGTCAATAATAGTTTCAAAAAGTTGAAAAACAGCTGATATTACTAAGAGTTGCTAATAGACATCTAAAAGTAATTCTCACTAGACATAATGGGTTTTTGAAGGATAGCTATAACTAGGACAACCATCGTAATGGATATCAAAACAATAATTATCATTGAAGTTATGGATAATGTTTAGTTGTATAGCCATAATTCTGGTACAATGATATTAAAAATCAGGATAGCTTGATAACCGTGATAACTATCCATTATTTCCTTACATCTAAATAGCCGCAATAGCTTTTGTTCCTTAACCATGGTTATGCTTGAAATGGTTGATGATGGTTGTAATGGATCGTTGATGATGGATCATGAAGGCTGAATTAAATTTGGTCTTAACTTGGATCTTAGACCTATGGATAATCATAAATTAACCCAGTCAATACTGGATCATGAATGGTAATGATAATAGATATAAAAGAAAAGATAGTGAGATTATGGTAATTGTTAATTATTGTTATCTGACAATTGTCACATTGAATTGTGGATAATAATGCATATAATTATATATGACAACGAATAATAGGTAAGAATGGATATTAAATTAAATTCAGGTGTTGATGTTAAAGACTTGAAATGGATAGGATAGCTTTGATCCTTGAACGCTTGGCTGCTTTAATTTCTAAACTTCAAATGGTTGGTTGGTTCAAAGTTTAATGCTTACTGTACCGTGACCGATGACCTGTGCACAACATAAAGGGGGTTGTCGCTGTCTGGATTTTAGGGATGGTCCTGCGGTACGTCTGGTTCTAGCTGGCTGGAAAATTCTCCACGTCATTCGAAAACCTTCCCAATCCACAAGGGGGATTCTACAAGGCAAGCTTTGATGCAGGACCCATGGTTCGTGAGCATCCAGATGGTGGAACCAGAAACTCTGATGTTGTCCCCTCGAAACCCATTCTGGAATGCAACGCGTTTCACTATTTGATGGCGTTTTTCTATCGCTTAGAATAGATTCATATGACTCCGATGACCCAGAAATAACTCAGAAATGTCACAAAATCAAATGGGGGAGATCAGTGGCAATCACAACCAACAAAAGAAAAAAACATCATGGCTCATAGAGGTTCATAGGACTCACAATATCGCAGACTGCTAAACCCAATGATAGTTAAACCCTCCCCAACATTATAACCACTTAATTATAACCAATATTATAACCAACATTATAACCATTACTAACCACAATGATTAATGTTGGGTGATAACCTAAAACCATTGCTAACATTATAACCATTTGCTAACCATTATTTACGCATTATAACCATTGATGATTACTACATCGGCAATGGTAAACCCTAAGCAAAACCATCCCCAGCCCGAGGCCCAACGGCGCTGTCCATTTCGTCTCCAGTGCCCAGATCCGGCACGTACATGCAGGACCTTCGGGGGGCGACTTATGGGACGACTTTATAGGATATGAAACCATAGGAATCTATGGGATTTATTGGGTTTCAGTGGGTTTTAATAGGGATTTAATAGGGATATTTAATAGGGATATTTAATAGGAGTCAATGGGATTTAGTGGGATTTAACAGGATTCAATGGGATATTCATGGGATTTAGGGGCTTTAATAGGATACTCGCGGGACTTAATAGGACTTAATAGGACTTAATGAGCATATCATGGCCGTATCATGGGTGTATCATGGTATATCTTGATAATAAATTCAAACATAAAGTTGGAACTGGGGGTTGTGCTTGTAGAAACTATGGCTAGATGGATTTATAAACCAACTTATGAAACTGAGGGGTTTTCTTGGTCAGATGGGAAAGTTCTGCCCCTTCGCAAAATGTTTGGCATCCAAGGATGCCATAGAAATCCAACAGCAACAGCCACCATGGACAGCAAGTCATCCACCTCCAATCACGACCAAGGCATCCCCTTGAGGCCCCACGCATTCCGGACCCCTCGGCAGCCACCATCTCGCGTAGGATGGCCATGACCGCTTCGCTGCCTGAGCGCCAGTAGATGTGTGGATTGGTTTAAGGGAAAATCTTAACCGGAAACCATGGGTTTTTACCATCAAATATGGGGGTTTCCTGTAAATTTTCCCATCATCCAATTCTATGACAGTGTGACTGATGGAGTGAAAAGTGTAAAGAAAGCCGGCTGAGTTCAGGACGCTCTGCCAGCTTGTTGTGAGCCACCATCATGAAAAGCACCTGCCAAATGGAGAAACACGCCCAGGAAAAAATCTCTCCGAAGAGCTCTGAATTATGGAACTGCCAAACTTGTACCATATTTTCATCCAACAATGTCAAGAGCATGAAGTATGACTTGGTATATTATCCATTCTATCTACCCATATTTAGCCACTACCCCGCTCCAAACAAAAGAAAATAGAAAAGTAAAATCGATCCTGAATTCATCTAAATTCTAGTCGTACACTGAACCTGATGTATCCTTTTCTATCTTTTTTGGGGGGGCTAGTGTCAAAATCTCAGAGCTATGTCACGCACGGCGCCTTCTCTAAGGACTCCTTGCCCTCCGCAATCAGCTCCAGGAGCAACTTGTCCTGGCTATGTCATGGTGTTTGATGTATCTATTGTTTTTGTTTTTGTTAAAGCTAGTATTCCAGAAGTAAAGAAAGCTGCAAATGAAAAAAGTGCAGCTAAGCAGGGTGGCTATATAAATGGAAAAAAAATGTTGGAAGTCATGTTTTCTAATGATTTGACATGAATTATATCAGAAAGTATATGGAGGTTTCCTGTTGTAAATGTTCCCGTCGTCCCTGGGAAGTGTCGTCCTGCAGTTGGCGCCCATGAGAAAATAATTATCTGATCTCATTATATATATATATATATGTATTATGTTACCCTCTGGTAATTTAACATAGCTGTGGAAAATTGCCCATTTATAGTTGATTTACCTATTAAAGATGGTGATTTTCCATAGCTATGTTAAATTACCAAAGGGTATTTTCCAATTGTTCATATGGCTGAATGAAGCTGTGGCGTTGGGGGATTTCAAGTTGTTGCAAGGTTGAGTCAAGGGGGAGTCAAACTTGAAGTGCCGGATGCACGCACATGCAACAAATGAAAGAACGACCAATCGAGGGAGGCAACTTCTGCTTAGGACTTCGGCTTGCTAAACAGGTCAGCAAGGACGTAAGGCTGCTTCTTCCTTGGTTCACTATCAGAAAGCAAAATTCCATTTGGTCACGTTGTGTCAAGTTCGTTGCGAATCCGTTGCCAATACCCCAGAAAATGGGGGATGGTTTAAACCAACCAATATTAAACCAATATTACCCTCTGGTAATTTGTTACATAACTATGGAAAGATCCACCATTTTTAATGGGAAAATCCACTATTTCTATGGTCATTTTCAATAGTTATTTAAGCCATCCCCCATTTTCAGAGCCACATCATCCGTTCATCCAAGGTTCTGGATGGAGGCTGCAAAGGGCCGCTCGTTGGAGAGGTACTTCTCTAGCACGCCGCGGACCTGCAATGACCATGGTCAAGATCCAAGAAAACCATCCTCTGGTAAACTAACAGTTTGCTATTGAAAATGGCCATAGAAATAGTGAGTTTTCCCATGAAAAATGGTGATTTCCCATAGTTATGTGAGTTTACCAGAGGGTAAGATGTTTAAAAAAAATTGGGGATGTGATCGATGAAATCTTGGAGTCAGAGTCCCCGGCAGTTTCTGCTGCTGCCTCCCGGTTGGCGAAGCCTGGCAGAGATATCAGCATGGCTATGCCTGGAAACTAACCCCCATCTCGTTCGATGATTTTCCCAGCTACAAACCATGTATATCCATTTACATATATATATATATGTTATATATATATATGTTATATATATATATGTTATATATGTTATATATACATATATGTTATATATATATACATACCCCATTTATATCCGTTTATATCCATGATTCTGAAGCGGGTTTCCCAGCCTGCCATTTTTGATGATCCCCAAAAACGGCCAGAAATCTCCGCCTGCGAACATGCGCTCCACAATCAGAGGACCCTTCGCTTCCGTGCAGTAGCCTGAAGCCGCTCAAGGGTCTGCGGCCCAAAAAGCTGCCGTTTGATGTTGGAAACCTGGAAAATATGGACAGAAATAAGGAAAACATCCTCGAAGTACCATCCTGGAAACACTGTTCATTACTTCCGCATCTTTTTGGGGGGTTGCTAGAAGGGGATATCCTACAGTACCAGACAAGCCTTAGAATTGATGGATAAAGAAGCCCACACTGAGTAATCGTTAAACCCCAAGTATTGATGAACAAATTCTATTTAAAAACATTGGTTGGTGGTTGAATACCTATGCTTAATGGGGAAAACATCATGTTGTCCTGCCTTTTTGTCCAAGCAACCCAGAGTCCCAAAGCAGTGACTCCAAGATCTCGACATCTTTGTTTTTGCTGAGACGTTTGGTCAGTTTCCGAAACTTGGGCGAGCCCGTTTAAACAATCACAATGATCTGCTTAGTGGTGGCATATGGTGGCATAGTGGTGAGCCTTGCTGGTGCGATTCAGGATCCAAGCCAGTTCAGACAAATCAGACTACAATCATCATCATCATCATCATCATCCTCATCGTCATCATCATCATCATCATCATCGTCCTCATCGTCATCATCATCATCATCCTCATCGTCATCGTCATCATCATCCTCATCGTCATCGTCATCATCATCATCATAATAATCATATCCCATTGGCCTATATTAGATTGTCATAACAACTATCGTAAGTGAAACATTGGAAAACAAATGACTCATCAGTAACTATAACTCATCAGCAACCTATCATAACTGTCATTAACATGTGTAATGTTGTGTATATGATAGTTATGCATATACTGGTATATATCTGTAACTATGATAGTTGTATTATGGTAGTTATGATAGTTGTGTTATACACTATTCTACCATATACACAACATTACACAACTACCATAGCTACCATAGCTATCACCAGCAGCTCGCTGATCGCGCTGATCGCGTCGAGGGACCATCCAACAAGGACAGGAGCTCAGCGCGTGGCACCTCAATGTCCTGGGCATCCGATGGTTTTGGGTTGTTTCTCGGTCACTCTTTAAGTGGGAAAAGATGGGGAAATATGGGAAAATATGGGAAAAGATGGGGAAAAATGGGAAAAACATGTAAAAATATGTGGAAGGAAGAGATGCGAACATATGCTGGGGATGGTTTATAAAACCATTTAAAGACTCATTTATGAACCTGGAAACATCAGGAAACCATGGTTGTCACCCCCAGATCTAGAGGGGGAGTTCCAGAGTTCCGGTTTCGATGTTCCCTCTAACGATTTCTGGGAATCAATTGCAGGCGCCTAACGTGTGCAAGGTCTGTGTAACGTCTGTGCAAGGATGTATCCCCCATATGGGTAGACCATCCTGCCTGTTCCATGGGCGCGCCAATGGTGAACTCACCTTCAAAGGGCAAGATCTTCTTCACCTGGCAGATCCCCCGTCGTCAACGAAGGATCCCAAAAAGGCCCACGGGGCTTCACACCTTGGACGGATCTTTCAACTCCAACCTGGCGATGTGGCGATGTCGGGGGGCTTTTTGAAAGGCCAAGGGGAGACATTGATGGAGTGAGATCAAGTTGCTACATGATCTGCTATGACCATCATTGATATGCTAAAACCTTCCATTTCATAATGCATCTGTACCAGTTTTAAGAAAAGCTTCGTGTTCCAATTGGTTTCCCCCCAATTCCAATGGATTAGAAATGATCATATAGAGCAGATGTTTTCCGCCCAAGAAATCCCTATGAAATCATGGACACTCCGCGCCTGGCCAACAACTCCCCGGCCGACACGATGGAGCCGGCGGAAAGGGCGTGGGAGACCTTACCAGCCTCGGGGGACTTCAGGGCCTCGGAGAAAGCCGCGGAAACGTGGCGATTGGAACCAGCCAACAGGGGGATTCAGTTACCCTCTGGCAAACTAACATAGCTATGGAAAGATCCACCATTTTTAATGGGAAAATCCACTATTTCTATGGCCATTTTCAATAGCTTTTTGTATGTTTACCAGAGGGTAACTGATTTATAACTGATCCATAACTCAGTTCACTGATTTCACCGGGAACATCGAAAATGCGGGACTTCACCCATGATTTTTGTGGACATGGGGCTCCAAGATTTCGACCATGTTATGGAGATAGTATTAGGTGTGCCGGGCAAATCACCGACACAACTTGGAGGCGTGTCCCAAAAATGATCCAAAACCAACATCCAATTGTAGAAAATCAGGTTCTTTATGAAGTTTTGGCAATTCTGAGGGTACCCATGTTCGAACACACCCATATTTTCGAAATCATGACTTTAATAGCTGGAGTACTGACCCCATCGACCAAGTCGTTTCAGTGGTGTTTGGTGTGCCATGAATGATAATGATGTTATCAAGGGAAAGTGCCTTGAAAAACTCAGAATGTATGACGTAAGACACCAAGTAGCGCGAGCCAGTCGGAGAACACAGCCTCTTCATTCTTCCTGCTTTTATATATATATATAAACCAAGTATAAACAATGTATAAACCATTTGTACCCGATTTATAGACCATTTATACACCGTGAAAAAATCCCAATGTGTACGCCCCGTAAGCTTTTCGATCAGGCCCAGTAGGTCCCCCTGCCATGATCATCTTCATGGCCTCCAGCTCGATATATGCATCACCTGTCAGCCACTGTTTGATGATGGCTTTCATGGGGGTACCCCAGTCATCCATTTATAGATGGATTACCCTCTGGTAAACAAACATTGCTATTGAAAATGGCCATTTATAATATTTATAGTTGATTTACCGATTCAAAACGGTGGATCTTTCCATAGTTATGTTAGTTTACCAGAGGGTATAATGGAAAATCCATCTATAAATGGATGATGACTGGGGGTGGGTACCCCCCATTTATGGAATAGATCGGGATTTTCCATGAAATCAACCATCCATTTATAGATGGGTACCCTCATGTCCATAAAAAAGTCATGCTCTGATAGGTGGAGAAACCGATCCCTCAGCTTTCGTTTTTCTGGTAGTCAACCAATAACCAATATAAAACTCTGAGCTGGAGATTTTGGAAAGGTTTGAACAAGCGGCAAGCGGCACGGCCTTTCGCAATCTCAGTTCCCTCATCATGCAAGTAGCGTACCACCTGAGTTTGACATCTGCTAAAAGAGCTGGCGATCACACCACACGCACCGTTTATTTAGATGTTTGAAAGCTAGGCTCACCTTTTCTGAAACCATGTTTCACACATGCATCCGAACATTAAAAAAAAACAGCTGTGATTGGATGATGATTGACTGATACGGTGCTTATCTGTAGAAGAACCCCTGCTTTTGCTGGGAAGGCTATTTCCCAATGTCCAAAGCTTGATCTTTCCCATAGGGGGTGCAGTTCCACTAAATCAATGGGAGTTATAATATGTTATAACCATAGTTGTAGGGGTTATATATCACAACTTATGGAGGTTAATTGGAGGTTAGAATCCCATAATTATACCCATAATCTAACCCCAACTGCACCTCCAAGCAGTCCGCCGAGCAAGGCTGAGTAAGGCACTTTGCCATTCACATCTGAACGCAGCTCCGATGGATCGTAGACCGTGGGCACCATGATGGTTTGTGCACCTGGCAGATATCATCAGGGTCATTCCAACAAAACGCCTGAGAAATTCTGAAATTCGGCATGTTATCAGATATCAATAGATCCCATCTTTTTTTATTTAACGCAGCTATCGAACGTCACCATGTCTAATAGGTAAATCATAATAACTCATCTAGTCTATAAATGGACCATCCAAATTCGCTATGTTAACTAACCAGAGGATATCATCCATGGGCCATATTTCACCATGGATTCTCAGGCATCATCCACACAAGAAGTGATCCAATGAAATTATCGGGTCAAAACGTTCTATCCAAATAACTCAGGTTATAACCTGTGGCTATTTCTCCAAATAGAAATTCAATGAAATTCATCCATCCATATCTATAAAATATCTAGAAACAGCTTTGTTGGTCTAATCAAAAATCATCTATAAATGGGGCTCAAAACTCTGTACCCCTGTAGTTCCCACGTCCCAACAACTGTCTGTGGTATCCCACGGCGCACCAATGATCAGTCGCAGCCCCAAGGCTTCTTCCTGCCCCTTCACCTGCTGACTGATGTTGCCTCGCCAGGCACGTCCTTTTTGATCCATCAAGTAATGGTGTTTCACTATAATTCATAGGGATTTCATGGGATTTCAACTATGATTAACAGGGATTAAACTGATTAAACCCTCAACACTAGAGATTTGAGATTTACGGGCCGACTTGGGTGGCTCCCTTGTGGGGGTCAGTTTTGCTATGACTCGGGGATTCCAACCTCCATAACTTGGGATATGGGGCCCCTACTATGGTGATCTAAGCCACTTGTTGACAGCCTGTACCCCCTGCATGGGAGGATTGATTCCCGTCTGGCAATCAAACAAAATCCACGAGACGTGGCCATGGGATGTGCTTCGCACGCCCAGCCTAGGCTCACATAGAGGGAGCCGTCAGGTTGCTCCCGTACCTGACTTTGCCGGACGAAGAGTTACTGTATATGTTTTACATGTATTATACATTTATGTATGTACATAATATATATATATATACATAGTAACCAAAAAAAAATGCTGAAGGATATAACTATTTTAGAAGGATTTGACTGCTATGTCTGTGACTGTTGATGATTCTACTTGCATTGTAGTTCCATCATGTCAACCACCATATTTGTCGAATGTTATCTATATAATTATATATTATATATGTCTATATCTATATGATTTCATGTACATGTATATGTATGTATCTGCAACATTACATGACTAAACAATCTACACATCAATCTATCAAGCAACTGTTGATTTCAAAACTTATGTCTTCCCATAGCGACACAGCAGCCACAGCCGTCCAGCGACGGCACCTGGCCTTGGCCTTCAAGGTCTTGCCATTGATGGTGAAGGAAAAGGTGTCTGGACGCGTCCTCACAACCGATGCAGAACTGAAGTTGGACCAGGTCCAATGGTCCAAAATTGATTTTCTCTGTATTTTACCAGGTCAACCGACAATGGGGTGAAATACTAAGCTAACACCGTTAAGCACTCAGCTCTTTTGAACCAACGTTATCGGGCAGATCGATGATATATACAATACATGGTTTTACTGCAGGAGTTTTTACACCCCCCTCGGGCGAGCAGGGACGACTGCGGAGAACGAATAACCCAGAAAAGCATACCCTCGCGGGTAGCCGAATTTCTTTAGTTGGTTTTAGACATTTTGTGCAGTCTTTCAAAGGTCCCTCTAAAAAGCTCAAGCCCGTAAAACCCAGCGCAGCGTTGCAAGGAAGGCACAATACCATGCCACATCTTGCGCTATGCTACAAAAGAAAATCATCGTCTCCCTAACGGTTCCAAAAGATCCAACGGCCGCCGGCCTCGTCACGGTAATACCAAGCCCCACGCCAGAAACTCCATTCTCGGCGTGCACCATAGTGATCACGATTCCAACTCCAAGAGGCATCCGGGCGACCGGAGCTTGCAGCCTTCGAAGTGACTCCTGCGGCTGCTGCTTTTGCAGTGGGCGGTGTCTCAGGCTCCAAGAATGGTCGTGCTCCTGCTTTGGATGTTGGTGGTTCAAGTACCAGAAATGGTGCGGCTGGGGCATCAGCGTGCGAGGCATCTGCGCGAGCAGAGCTTGAGGCGGCTGTGACATCTGGTGCGGTTGCGGATGCATCAGCTTCGGCTTTGCGCTTTCGCTCAATGGTGGGCGCGACCGTGGGGTCGGCCTTATGACCTCCAGGACCTCCAGCCTTTGCAGCGGCGCTCTGCTTCTCTTTGCGTTCAAGATTGCTCCGAACCAAGGGAAGGTTTTCCTCATACACCTTTTCGAGGAAATCACGAGTGCCATCAAGAGGGACTTGGACAGTACCCTTCCAGGTCAACAGGCCACGGAATGCGCCACGACGGCCGATGTAGCTGACATATTCATCCTCTGTAAAAATGTTGCGGCCAAACATGAAACCCCAGACCTTCTTCCATGTTTTGCGGAACTCAACTGGGAAGCCATCAACGCCACGAGGCTGAGACATGAAAATCAACTTAGATAAGCAGTTCTCATTTTGGGCATTGGCGGCGACGCCAGCCGAGATCTGAGCTTTGGTCCTTGGGGGATCGGGGAGGTTGCCATATGCGAACATATCGTCAAATATGCAGTCCTGCAGGTCCTTCCCCTCACCGTGGATGCGGTCGCAAAAAGTGACGTCGCTGGTGTATCTATCTTCCACGTCCTCGTAGCCCAGCGCTTTTGCACGTCGATGCCTGTCGCGGCAGTCTTTGAGGACTGCTGATTCCACGGATGTGATTCCCCTGGGGCCCAGTTCTCGGCGTAGCAGGTTGGCTTGCTCTTCCGTCAAGGCTGTCAGCAAGCTTCCGCTCATCTTCCCAAACATTCCGAACTCGGCGAGACTTTGCATTCGCCGTTCAAGGATGCGGGTCCTCCTGTTGGGTTTGTTGGCCTCTTTTGTATCGCCACTTTCGTCCACTGGGAGTGGCTCAAAACCACATGTGGTGCATGTCACTTGGCCACTGACGTACTCAACCTGGCAGAGGGGACAGGAGCCCATGAAAGGTTCGCAGTACTTGGGTGCAATGTAAACACGGCGCGTCCTTGCGGGCGGCTGGTCAACTTGCATTGAGGCAGTGGCTGCATCATCATCAGTGGACTTGGCATCGGGTCGCCCCGTGCTGGTGTCATCCATTGGGTCGTCATTTGCATCATCTCGGGCAGTCAAGGTGACCGCTTTGGCTTTCGGTGCTGAGGCTGATGCCGCGCCAGTCCATGTACTGGGCTCGAGATTGCTCTCGGCGCGGGACCAAAGCACCTGTCCTTCTTCTGAGATGCTGACCAGAAACTGCGGTGGGATGCGTTCTGAGCACAAAATCCCATCCATTTCTGTGCGACTAAAGATGACACCAGCTTCAACTGCTTGCCGCATTGCGATTTTGACTTCGATTGGACATTTTGCTCTTAATCCAGATCGATATCCCTGCGTGCCAATACAGTGTTCTGCCATGTAGATATGTGCACGGCCACTGTTGACTGTTGCACCGCCGCCTGGAATCAGGCCATTCTGTGCGATGCTCTTCCAGCTGCTTTTCATCGTGCGATGGAAGACAACCTCAGGAACCTCAGTCATGGCACACAGGGGCACGCCAGTGAAGGCGGCTTTTCGCTCGGGGGATACATGGTCTGAGCAATACACCATGGTTGAATTGGCATAAAGACCCCCTGCGGTTTTCAAGGCAGCTTCGGAGGGACCCTGAATTGCACGGATTTTCACAGGATAATACGGCATGCCTAGGCCATTGTCGACAGGAAAATGGGAGATCTTTGCACACAAGAATTGGACCCTACTCTTGCCATGCTTGTCGATCTTCATTGCGGTGCCAAACAGGTTTGCGACAGTGATGAAAACATCTGGGGGCACTTCCTTGCGGAAGGCTTTGGCGAAATCCTCCAAGTCAATCCAAAGGTCTTTGTCCATTGGCACCTTGGCACAGGATCCGTGCCCCCTGCAAACTTTGTTGACACGAGTCGCAAAATCAGAAAACTTCTTGTCGACGCGAGTCTGGCTGGCAATGGTCTCAACGTCGGATGCCGATATCAGCTCCAGCTCATAAGCCGTACCTTCAAAGAGGATGCCGGGCACATCGTCCCCGTCTGCATTGGTCACCATTGTATATTGGTATTCAGGCAAATGCTCTTCCATCCAATATGCTTTCACGTGGCCAGGTGCTTGTCCCTCGAAGCGCGCAGTTGCCTGCGGCTGGTACTGGCTGGATGTGGCTCCCTTGTCATCTGCGGGCTCATCCATTGATGCTGGTGCTGCTTTCGGCCGCGACTTCAACATGACCTCAGCTGTCTGGACCAGGATTGTTGCTCTGCTGGATGCAGCGGGCTCGCCGTCGCCGGCGGCCTTTGGAGGGTCATCTTTGGGAGGCTCAGCGAACGTGCCCGAAGGCATCGTCTTGATGTCGATGTAGTCCTCAGCGTCAGGTTGTTGAGCTTCGACGTCCTCCTTGGTGAATGACCTGCCCGTCGGCACAATGTGTCTTCGGGACTCTCCAAAAAGCAACTTGGTGATGTTTGCGCATGTCTCCTGATAGGATCTTGGCAGCTCGTCCAGGACGGCGCTCATGTTCCTCCGCAAATCATCCCATGTCTCCTGGGCACACTCAGAAAGCTCCAAACCAATTTGGCCGACCCGCCATCCGGAATCAAGTGGGAAAAGGGTAGCTGTCCAATAGGCAGCAAGGCGCGTGCGATTTTCTTCAGAGTTGGCGAAATGCCACTGGTCTCTGAATTCCATTGCATCGGCGTACCCTTTGCTTTCAGCCACGGATACCGCGGATTGGCACGCCCTTGCAGGCTGCTGGTTAGAGCTTTGAATCGGGGCTCCAAATGGTCGAAAAATTGATCGAAGATGGGATGAATGCCGTAATCTGCGCTCCAGGGCGCGGTCGTGAGACCGGCCGTCTGCAAGTCCAACTCCCGGGCCTTGTTGATGAACCATGTCAAGTGGCGCTCACAATCATCCAGGATCGTGGGCCAGTGCCCGTTGGGACCATCGTACGGCCAATTTGGATTTTGGGCAATTCCATCCTCTCCTACCAATTCATTTCCGAACCAGGACAAGTGCAGGTTGATGCGTGCATGAGGATAGCGCTCGCGGGCGTCCGCGGCCAATTCGATCCCTCTCTTGACCAACTTCTGCAAAGTTTTGCCCCAAAGCATCTCGTGGATGAACTCAGTCACGTACTTGGGTTTGCGCTGTCGGTAGTGCTCGGACAGGTCAAACTTCTTAAGTGTCTTCCTACGCCCTGTGATCAATGCACATGACGAGTCAGAGACTAAGATCCAGATTACGTCATTGACGGGCATCTCTGGCAGCATGATCTTTTCAATGTGGGACTCCTTTGGCAAAAAGCAGAAACTAAGGTATTCTGCAAGCGGATCCTCTCGACCATAGAACCTCAGGGCCGAAGCCGGCGTCCATTCGGTCATCAGTCCATCCACAAGGTCCTGAGCAGCCTGATTCTCACCTTCATTGCGCATGGCCAATGCATACAAAATGCGATTGTGAAGGAG